AGGAATTCAGTTGAGCCAATAAACCTGTAGCTTCATTTTTGATTAAGGCTTTTTGTTGCGAAGAGTTACTTTTTATTGCTTCCAGAGCTTTAATTATTTGTTCCCAATTTTTATTCAGGCTCGAGCAAGCATCATCTCTTGCCGACCACCGCGTATGTGACAAACTTTTAACGGTTACATTTTCAGGTTCCGTTAAAAATGTTTGCAATATTTTTGTACGTTCCGTTGATCCTATAAAAAATACGTACAGATTTTGCAATACTCCAAAAAACTTTGTAGCTTCTGGGCGACACTCAGCTGCTGAGGATCCAATCAAATTTAAGGAATGTGCGGCGCAAGGTATATATGTTGCATATTGGCATTTTTCTTTAATCTTTGCCTGCAGGCCGTTATACTGCCCCGACATGTTGCTTGCATTATCATAAGACTAACCTCTACAATTGGCAATATCGATATTCAGTTTGTTAAAAGTCTTCAAAATGGCTTCAAATTGTCTTCTGCTTTGTGACCAGTATTTGGCAGAAAGCAAAGGAAACGTTCAACTGGTTCTGCATTATCTTGAACAAATCGCACAATTAAAGAAAGTTGATCTTCATGGGTTATGTCCGGAGTAGAATCAACACTAAAAGAAAAGTATTTGGCTTTTTGAAGTTGCTCAATTATGGTTTCGGTAACTTTGTCAACCAATTTTAATAATTTTTTCATATGTTGCAAATGATAAGTAAGAGGTGCTGCCCTTTCCTGGGTTGCCAAAATGCTCAATATGTTTGGCAAGAAATGGTTCAAACTCTGAAATAGCTTCCAACATCATCAGAAAGTTTCCATTATTTGTGGATCCAAATTTATCTGTCTTTCCACGAAAAGGAAGTCCACGCGTAGCTAGATGTTTCACAGCTACAACTACTCGAAGTAATACGTTACGCCAATACTTTTTTTCATCTTCTAATTGTATATATAATTGAGAATCAACCCGGGTCTCTACTTGTCCCCGATTTTTCATTTTTAGCAAACAGTTTTTATGCCCCAAACTAGACTCATGAACCTTAAGTCTCTCGTGAGCATGTTTCCAATCAGAAAAATCTAATTCAGAAGTAAGTTGACCTCCATGTTCACTTTCGAAAAGACGACATGGTCCACAAAATATGGAACCCTTCGATTTTGAATATATTAAATAATTACGACAAACCTTTTCTCCGTTTATGAGTCTGGTTTTAAATATTTTTTTTATCTTCCGAACATACGAAAACTTTATTATTTTTCTAGATAGACTAGTACAGTCAAGTGCAGATCAACCTGTACAGTTTTGTTGCAATATCGCCTTTAAACCAATGGAACAAGGTGCCCCAATGTAAAGCTTACTCTGCACTTGACCCTGTACATTTTAGAACTTCTAGAAATTAACTTGCGCAGGGTGACTTAGGCTAAATACTAAAATTATTTTTTTTTTGGCTTCAGACTTGCTTCAGACATAAAATAAAAAAACCGAGGCGGAAAAAAAATAGACGGTTCAACCGGTTCAGGAAAGAACAAGGGGCGGCTTGCATACTTCAATTAATTTCGAATTTCTCCAGACATGAAATCCACGCACATCACAAGGGGCGGCTTTCATACTTTAATTGAATTTCAAATTTCTTCAGACATTAAATCAACATGTGGAAAGGTGGCTCAGGGGCGTTCTAGGCTTAAGTCTGAAAATATTTTTTGTATTTTTTCAAACGTCCAAACCAAAGCCCTAGCCCTGGGCCGCCCCTCGCGGCCTGCCGCCCCGGGCTATAGCCCTTCTGGCCCTAGGGTAAATACACCCCTGACCGTCACTGAGTCATAAACCGTTTTGTCTCATTTTCTATTACTTTAGACTTAAAACTATATTAATTATGTAAAGTTATCTGAGATGAATAAATGATTTTATTATTATTATTATTATAGCTTAGGTATAAGAGGTCCGATGTCGTAGTGGGTTAGCGCATTCGGTTTAAATTGCAGTTGAATAAGTAAGTAAATACTGCACAACAAGGACATACATGAATACTTATTTTACATAACTGAGTACAAAAGACAAACTTATCGCTATCCAGCGATTTCTTCCAGGCAACCTAGCATTACATGGAAAATGGAACATTAAATAGCCGATTGTGCATACAACTGGACAAATAATAATAATTAAAAAAGATTAAAAACAAAAGCTCGGTGGCGTAGTGGATAAGCGCCGCGGCCCGCGATCGTAGTCGTTAAGCAACTTTCGCAAGGGTCGGTCACGGGATGGGTGACCAAAAAATTATTATCTCGAGCTACTCCGTGCTTCGGAAGGCACGTTAAGCCGTTGGTCCCGGCTGCATTTGCAGTCGTTAATACCCTCCAATCCGCATTGGGCCAGCGTGGAGGGTCATGGCCCATCCTCCTTAACCATCCATAAGGAAGGCCTGAGCCCCTGCAGTGGGGACGTAAAAAGGGCTGGTGATGAAAAACAAAAGAAGGATAGTTTAAAGGTACGAATGAAATGTCCAGACACAAGCGACAACCAGAGCGCGAGAAACGAGATAAAAGATAGAAAAATAACATTCGAAAGGACCTTTGACAGGATGGGTGACCAAAACATTATTATACCAAAACATATCTTGAGCACTGTGCACAATACTGGCACAATGCACGTTAAGTTAGTCTTGGCTGCATCAGCAACGTTAACACCCACCGATCAGCATAAAGCCCGCATAATGGATAATAGCCCATTGATCTTATTCGATTCGACTCCATTCATAGGAAAAAAGAATTCTACCAAAATACTTCCCACGCAGACGAAGTCGCGGGGAAGTACGGCTATGTATAAAAAATCATTTTAAAACATTACTCAGTTATAATGTTAAAAAAAATGATATCATATAATTATTATTGATATTTTACAATTCACGACCATTTCACTAACTTAGACCAACACTATATTTTTTAAATCAATTTAGTTTCCCCCATATAACACTCAGATCCAAGAATCATTGACATTATAAGCGCCGAAGTCTTTTTGCGTATTAAAAAGATATTGTTTCAAACGTAACGCGTTTCTTTCGCATAAATAATATTAGAATACAGAGTATGGACAATATGGATATAACAATGGACTTATAAATGTGTACCTTTAAAGATATATATTTATAGTAAAGTTATATTTGTTATTGACAATATTTCCTGATTTTCCTGCTTTGAATTAACAGGAAAATACTCTCAATATTTCGAAGCACATTTTTAATTTGGTGTGTCATTGTAAACCAGAGGTGTATTTGGTTAGCCTTAAGGTACGAATGTTAATGGATTGGGTGGTACACCCATGGCCTCTGGTCCTGGAGTTTGGAGGCACCGTAGACAAATAAATAGAGCCTGTAGCAGTGGTTTATATATTTTTTATTTTAAAAAATTTTTTTACTGCCTTATTTATCTAATGTCCAATCTCGTAGTTTTTTACTTTTATTCACTTGAAATAATACACGCATCCGCCAAAATCATACTGTCTCATAATAGTTATCCAAGTGGGCGATCACAGTGTGTTTTGGTCTGTAGTGAAGATGGAAGCTATACGGTCTCTCGTGCTATTTGTCTGGATCGAGGAGTCCCACAGGGATCAATACCTGGTCCAATTCTTTTTAACATATATAGTGCCGATCTAGTTGATTGCATTCCAAATTGCAGCTATCATATGTATGCCGATGATTTACAGGTATACTCGTCTTTTAAGCGTCAAGATACATTAACGGATATATCTGCAGTCAACGAAGATTTGAACCATATAAATAGTTGGGCTGCTAAAAATTGTTTGGTTCTCAACCCTCAAAAATCTAAGTTTCTCATTTTGGGCTCCACTTTACAAAAAGATGTTATTGGTAACCTTAACCCAATGATTAGAATTGGTGACACATCTGTAGAACAGGTAGCTGAGGCTAGAAACTTGGGGGTGCTTATGGATGATGGGCTACGATTTCATAACGTTCGTTCTTGAGACTGACAAGGCTTGTTTTTACAGACTCAGTCTTTTATCAAGGACGAGACTATTTAGACGTTAGTGTTAGGGTCAAGCTTTGTGAAGTATTAATATTAAGTAAATTGAACTACGCAGATGAAGTAATAGGTGAATGACTCTTCGATTATACCAAAAAACTTATACAGCACGTCCAGAATTCATGTGCCCGATTCTGTTATAATGTTCCACGTAGAGCCCATATTACCCCATATCTGAATAAGGTAAAGTTATTGAATATGCAGTCAAGGCGTTCTTTTCACTTTGCTTGTTTATTGTTTGGAATTATTAAAACCCAGTCTCCCTTTTATCTATTCTCTCATTTTCACAACGGAAGATTCGACTTACTTCACGCCTGATTTGAAAAAACCAAAGAACGGTTGTTTCGTGGAAGTTTTCGATATTCTGCCACAAAATGTTGGAATAACATACCTTTCCCGATAAGAAGTTGCCATAGTATTGGGAGTTTTAAATTAAATTTTAAAAAATTCTTACTGAATCTACAACAGGCTAAAACCTTATGATTGTGGACTGCTTTCTAATTTCTGCGTGGGTGGGAGCTCTGCAAGGAGTGACTTATGGAATGCTCTGCAAGGAGTGACTTATGGAACTAATGGAACTATTGGAATATTTGTGTATTTATTGGTTTTAATATAATATTTTTATATACTTTTATTGCATTTTTAGTATATTCTATTTAAATATTGTTAGGAGAGGTATGAGTGTGGCGTAGTGGTGCTCTCAAGAATATAAGGTTGCCACGGAAGATCAGCGTCGGACTGTCTAAGACATCCGACACATGCTGAGTGGCTGCCTTTTCAGTGTCTTTATAGTATTATATTCTTTTTGTCTTTTGTCCTGTATGGTCACTGAATAAATAAGTTTCTTTCTTTCTAATAAATCATCGTCATAGGCACCTAAGCTTCACGCCGAATTTTACTTTTATGATAAGAAAAACAATGTACGTATTTCAGCAAAATATATTTGTTAGTTTGTGGAATCATATGTCCTCGTTATTGATTCTGTGGTGCGAGTTGAGCGGTCGACGACTCTCCTCGTCCGAGCCGTAGATGACGTCTTCATCCGAATCGTTGATCATAGAAAACGCGGGATTGTCTTTGGTTATGGCCGTTTCTGGAACAAATTTGGAAAAGGAAGACTTTCATTAATAATTAGGTAATAATTACTTAGGTATCCTAGATATAACAGGGTTATAAAAAAAAATTTTCCCCACCAAAATGATGTGTCATCTCAAATACGGATAATAAGAAATAAAATATTTAAAACATGAGTGTTTTGATTTGAATATTAAAAGAATCTGTTCTACTTAATTAAAATATTACTGATTATATAAGACAATTGAAAAAATTGATGGAACAAACAGTTAGAAAGGACAACATTTTTAACAATAATTTGTTATAAAATATATTTCTTCTAATTAGGTGTTTTCAAAAGACGTGTTTTCTCGGTTCTTAAAATCGAGTTAATGCTCGATTTTTATAAATAACAGAAAAATTGCGTTATATAAGTTATTTTACAATGATGGCCTTAGATTTAGGTAGGTAACCCAAGTGTATGTTATTAATCTTCAGGTTATCTAACTATTTCGTATATCGTATATCATTAACTTTAAGGAGTTCATTGGTTAGCGCGTTTGGGGAAGAAAAAGGGAATTAACATTAATTTGTGCTTTGAAAAATAAATGAGGCCATCGAGAAAATCGTCAATACCTAGCGATGAAGAATAGGGCCGTGAAGTAGGAATGGCTTAGACCTTCGTTCAGATTTCCGTTTTGTATACTGTCATAGTTAAAAAAATATCCACGACCACGTTTCATTTCCGTAAATCATCATTGGCAACACACTAAGGTGATAAGGACGCGAAGATATTTCGTAATACCTGTGATTAAATGGTTGAGTAATATCATACCGTGCACAGATCCGCCAGCGGGTGCATATAGGTAGGCGAGCGTATACACGTTGAAGTTAAACAATCCTATTAGCGCCATGAAGGGCGCTGATGTGTCGTGGTGGTGGTGTAAGCGCGCAGCCCAGTGGTCCTGCAGTGGCCCTGCGCCCCACCCGGAGGCCCCCACTGCCCCCACTAGCGCAGTCACACAGCCCACCGCGCTTGACAAGCAACGGAGCCTTATATCTAAACATACATTTGATTCATTATCATCATCAGCCCCGTTACATCCCCACTGCAGGGGTTCACGCATTCCGTATGGATTGGTTAAGGAGGATGGACCTCCACACGGGCTCAATGCAGTTTGGAGGGCATTAATGACTGCAGATGCAACCGGGAGCAACGGATTAACGTGCCTTCCGAAACACGGAGTAGCTCGATAGAATAATTTTTGTTCACCGACCGTTGCGAAAGTTGCTTAACAACAATGAGCTGCGACGCTTATTAACGCAAAAGAAGGCATCCCATAGCCAGAAGAATTTCATATTCATTTCATAGAAGTAGATTGTCTTAATGTCGAATAAAATTTCAATGATACTGTGAAAAGCTCTATGTGTTGCGCATCGGAAGGCATGTTAGGCCTGCAGGCACAGACCTGCAGGTTATGGGCATGGATGTAAGTTCTGTTGTCGTACGTAGTACTTCATCGTCAATGCACTCAATATATATATAACTGTCTTTTTTTATTTTATTTTGTGTGGCCCGCCATCCGATTGTAATGTATCTTATGGAATGTATTTTTATAATCCAGTAAAACTCCAGTAAAATTTACGAATGCTACTTACCAAAGAAAGGCATATTTCTCAGGTCACTGTATGCTTTTATAATAAGGACGATTAAATATAAGAAATATAGTATTACAGCACTGAAGAACATAATTTTAACTACCTGCAACCAAAATCAAATATTGAATAATAGCAAAAGAAATCTATACGAAACTTCGTAACCAGAAATATACTTACAGGATAGTTAGGATTCATCATATAATTAAATGTAGGATCGTAATATGCATAGTATTTCTGCCATACAGATATGACCATAGCTGGTATCCATACCATTCCCACCACAATCAATTTAAACAGGTAAAATGATAAGAAACCTCTTTCATTCTGCAATCATAAATGAAATAAATTTACTGTGAGTATGGTGCACTTATGCAGTTGTCGAAGCAGAATGGAATATGACTGTATAAAGCGTTAGTTATATTTAGCCCTTGTCCATGTCCGCGTGGTTCAGTTACTAAATATAAATATATATTATGAGTGTAAATACACTCAGTTGCAAAAACGTTCACTAAAATTATCATTAGTTTAAAGCGATATTATTAACACAATTTTTTTATGAATATAGCACATTCATTAGAGCTTAAAACCTTAATAAACGTTTATGCAAACCAGTATAATATAATCACTGTCGTACTGACCAAACAGTGATAAATTTGACCTGTCCCGCGTGTCAAACAAATAAGTACCTATTTGCGAATGGCGCCACGGCATGCGGGCTAAATACAAACGGCGCTTTACTCAGTCTGACTACAATAGCGGCGTACGTGTAGAGTGGTGGTTGTCGCGAGATTTGTCGCAGTTTGTACGTGTGAAGTTGTATACGATGTGGTGTTTTGGTGGTGCAGGTATTAACTATGTGAGGAAGTTATTAGATATTATAGTTTCTCTGCGATTGCAATCTCTAACGTCCCAGTGCTTCAAAAAGCACCTTAATTGGACTCTGCTAAATCTGTATTCGTTAGCATTTGCCGGTCTGCGCTAGACTCGCGTTGTGGGTTGTCTGTAGGGAAGGCATGTGCTTTACCACTGAGGTTATGACAAACTGATGATAACAATTTGTATGTTGTATGAATGAGCATTGTTAAGATGGTGCTTAATCTAAAAATCATTGTCTGCTGTTTTATTTTGGCTTATAGTGTTGGGTGATAATAAACGTGTAGTCTATCGTATGACCTGTCTGAGGGCGTGGTATTGCGCGAGCCAGGCCAGCATGAGACAGCACACGAACAACGACTGGAACACCGCATCCATCAGTGGTGCGAACCAGCCTCCCGATACCAACCGCAGTGGGTACAACGGATCTAAACAATAACAATTCATGGGATTGAGACGTTTTGGCTATTTATTGAGATTACTCTAAATAAAAAGACTATTTTGCCTCTTTCAGAGATATTAAAGTAATTGTTGAATTATGCTTTTTTAATGAATCAAAAGAATGAATTCAATGTACTTACTGTTAATCATGATTTCCTATAACATATTTTTACCTATATCTGACTGAGATAAATCAGAAACTACATTAAGAGATGTGTACTTGTGTCCCAATATAGCAATATAAAATAAAAAAATATCATCCCCTCACTAAATGCAACTTATACGCTGATACGGGACTGCAGTTTTTGAGCTTTCGAGCCATGCAATTTGGGACTGGGATACAACTTTTGTTTATAGCACACAGCGAAACACTCAAATATTCAATATTATGGCTCACAACGCATTATCGCGTGTCACCGCGTCAGCGCTTAGATATTCAAGACAGAACTTCATTACATATGCTATCAAGGTATTATCGCTTGAAACAAGTAAAGCAGTGCATTAAGTTTCAAATCTCGTTGAATAAAGGATTTTTATTTATTAGTATCAATAAGCAAAGCACGTGTAATTAAATAGTTAATTTCGCGGGTTTCATTTTGCCATGCCCACTGTGCAAGTATGAAGTCATGCTGTTTTTGATTTCCATAATATTTTAAGATATAATATAAGGTATAGTTTTGTTTATCCTAAAATAACACTATTTACAGCACAGGCATACACATTTTTAAGCATAATTATTTTCATATAATTCTATTCATATTAATATTTAAGCATAAAATCCTTATGAATTTTATAACTTGTATAGCGCTCGCGCATGCATATGCTCGCTTTGAAAGTTCGGCTTCGTTTTTGTTTTGGATACATTCTAATCTAACCTTATCGATTGATCGGTTCTTTAATTTCAACTAAGTCATAAAATGCGAATGAAAATTAAGCCCAAAAGTTGGTATTATAAAGTATCAATATTACAAGGAAATTAAAAAGTTAGGTAAAAAAAAAAGATTCCACGTCGGACAAGTCATTTGAAACTAGATTTCTCTACCTCCTAGGGGGTATCTCATGGTTGAGAAGCGACGGTGTCAACTTTAAACTTTAAAGTTATTTTTTAAGCCTATTGACAAAGTTAACAAAGGAGGACTTACCATTATACAGTAACAGTAATGGTAGGAGGATGGATAGCCACTTTTGTTCTATAGCCCAGTCTTGTGTTGAATATTTTCTAAGTGTATGGGCGAACCAGCACTAAATAATACAAACAGAATTAGTGTTATTAGTAATAAAGTAGCTATAGTAAATAGTTTTAGGGTCTTTTTGAACATTTCGTCTAATAGGTTAGTTTCTAATATTGTTTTACTAATATCATTAGGTATAGCTTAAGAAAAATTGAATACATATTTTACTTACATACATTTTTTATAATGGGTATGTTACCACAAATCGACTTATGTGACCAAAAGTAAGGAAAATCAAGAGACGTTTTAAATTTCTTAAAAACCTATAGATATATGAATATACAACGTGTAATATTATTAACGCACATCCTGAAAATAGTTTGTTTAAAATCAGATATGTAATTTTTTTTGCTAAATTTAATTGGAATCATGTAAATTATGGTGACTTGTAACCATTACCTACAACCGTCACAAACAAAAGATAAACTTAAGTGAAATGTAATGAGGCTTTTTAAAATGCATTATATTCTTAGCTTGTAATAAAATAAAACATAGGAAAAGAACAAAGAAATTTGAGCTTTCTTTTAATGTGCCTTAAATGCTATGATGTACACGTTCATAAAATAATAAGATAAAAAACTTGGGTTTGACTATGGATAGTTCTTTATCATGGACTCCGCAAATTGTTGAGGTAAGTAAACGGATACATTACTCTCGTCACTCTCTCAAGCCACTCCAATCTTTTCTTCCCTTTAAAACCAAAATTATGCTGGCGCAATCTCTTCTGCTTCCCATTCTCGATTATACTGACATTTGCTATCTGGATGTGAATGAAGATTAATTGAATAAGCTTGAGCTTCATTTTTGGACTACGTAAATATGACCATGTCTCTGCTTTTCGTGCTCAACTGTACTGGCTTCCTATCCCTCTTCGCCGTGATATGCACACCCTTTAATTCCTTATAAAATCCTTAAAAACAATACCTTAGTTCCTGTTTCCAGAAGCTTCCTCCTTCTTACCATCCCAGGCGTCCCTGCGGCACCAAATCTCTTAAGCTGCCTAAATGTAACACCAATTTACTCCTCAAATCCTTTACTGTTCGTGGTGTTCAACTTTAGATCAAACTTCCCTTGAATATTCAGGATTGCTAGCCCTTCCACCAAGTGTTTCAAATTCAAATTTAAATACTACTTTCTAGAACAATGTTCGTATTCATGACACTGCTTTCATCGTATCTTATATATGTAGTGTATGTTTTATGTATTGTATATATCTGTTTTTGTATTATTTATTATATATTATAGCTTTTTCAAATTTATCTTTTTCTATTTTCAATTTTAGTAACATCATTTAACTGCACTTTTATCACCCGCTTACACCTTACTCTCCCACGACTCCTAGGTTGGCTGGAAGAGATCTCTTCTAGAGATAAGCCCACCCTTGTAATTTATTTATTTGTTTTTATGTAAAATTTTGAGTGCTACAAAGAGTCTATATAATATCAGTTTTCTCTACAAAAGAAACCGATCAAGGATTTTTTTTTCCTTTTTTATTCGCGATAACAACCTTAAAGGTTTATGCGTAAAACGCATAGCTTTATAATTAAATTCGGTTTATTTCAATGAATTCAGTCTATATTCGTTCATCGTCATTTCGTTTCTGGGATATCTGTAACTTTCGATGGCAATATTATTTCTTACTCTGAAGCGACTAGCCCTAAAATTACCATGACACACTTTCTTTCATTATCTGTTATTGACTACGCTGACTTATATTATACAGATCTATCGGAGGAGTTTCTTGATACCCTTGAGTTAACATTATTTATTTATCCTTCCCAACATTGCACTCACAGCAATGCTTACAAAACAAACATATCTCAAAAATAAATATTTTTATAATTAAAGAAAAAGGTTTTATAATTTTTATTTTATTTTTAGTCAATGTAAACAAAGTATATATTTCTCGAATGTACTCATCAAGACCTTTACTTTGATACACATGTTGTTATTATTGATGAAATATAATTTTGTCATATTTTTAATTGACGCCATACGTTAGCTTTATTAAATATTTCATAAAAAGCTAGTGTTACTTGAGATGGTGTATGGTTTCTAAAGAACCGATTTTGTTTGAGTTTAAAACCCGTTTTAAACTCAAACAAAATCGGTTCAAATCGGCCGGTTAACCGGGTAATTCGGGTAACCGAAAGACCGGGTAGCATGCCCTATGACAAACATGACTGTGCCAGTGAATGATTATTTCATCGCAATTTAAGTTTATTAAATTTTAAATTTCACATGCGATGATTCTTCTTTATACTAATGTTAGTAAATAAATACCACAGACATATAAGACGATAAATACATCGAAATGCTTAAGGGTTAGGCACAATGTGGTGATACAGTGCTCGCCGTGTGATACGTGATCGCAAGACTATACTATCCGATATTTATAACAAGTAAAAATGATAATTATTGTCTAAACATAAAAAAAATACTTTGAATCTCGGAACATAATAATACTTCACGTCGATATTTTTTATTGGTAGGTAGGTGGTAAAGTTGTGGTATTGTAGGTACATACATTTGTACTTGCAGGCTAAGCCGTAATTTTGACATCGTTGTGTGGATTTGTAAGATGTCCACACTGTTACCCAGCAATTAGTACAACTATATCCACAACTATTAGTATTACAACTATTAGTACAACTATACAACGTGTCCCAAAATTCAACGATAAGCGGGCGCCAAGAGGTAGACCTGCTCATGTGTACTTATGGAAAAATAAGAAAAAAATTATATCTTATTAATCTTTTTTATTATAAAATTAAATTCGAAAATTTACACCTTTTATGATATTTTCAACTACCACGACCACAACCTCTCAATTATGTTCAATCTTTTTTTGGTATTGGATACCTAAGTAGCACTACTATTCGCTACAACTCTTAAAAACACCAAAATGCCCGCAGTTTTTACACAAAAAACAATGAAAATGTATTTTTTCCTTAAATTTTCACAGATTTTTACGTTCCGTAATTTTTGACTTACGGTCTTATAAAAAAAAAGTATGGACACCACTGTGGCAAGTTGTTTTTAAAATTGACTGAACTCATCAAGATTCCAAAATGGTATAATAATCTAAGATAACTAGTCACAGTAAAAAAATATGCACACCATTTGTAAACAAACGAACCAAATTATAAATATTCATTAGATATTTATTTATTAGGTAATGCTCTATTTCTGCTATTTTGAAAGTATTGTTTTTCATGCCACTTCGCCCTTTACTTGTGTCTATGTATACCAAATTACCAATTCTACCAGCTACCTGCACCCGAGCGGCTGCATCCCTTTATCGAAAACGAGTTCTGCGGCATTGTCACATTCCTTTGACGTAATTTGTTTTTCTAACTCAGTTCGCACGTTTGTAATGGCTCAACTTAAAGTTGACTCAACAGATAGCGAGAAGGGGGGTATGTTAGAGAGGGATAGATAGATATTTTTTGTAGAATAACAACAATGCAGGTACATAGAGAAATCCTGTTCTCAGCAAATCTGAAGTCGGATCAGTACGTTCTGCTCCTTTGTTTACTGCGCACCTTTCTGTATTCAATTGACGTGGCTCTCGTACTAACGACTTTTGGCTTTCTATTTTGGACTGGAATTAAGTGATCTGCAAACTGAACTAACCTGGCATTAATTTGGACTGTGATAGTGTTTTGTGAATTGGACTTTCGTCGTATTTTGGATTGTTTAGCGTTATCATGCCGCTACCATACACGCCGACGGAATACGCTAATATGCACCTCATTTATGGAGAATGTCGGTGCAATGCTAACGCTGCTAGCAGATTGTATCGGGAAAGGTACCCGAACGCCCAAAGATACCCAGATTACCGAGTATTTATGAATGTGCATCGAGCGTTCTCGGAGGGTCGTTTGCCATCAGCCAGAAGCAACGCTGGAAGACCTAGATCGGAATACGATGAAGAAGATCTCAATGAAATAAACATTGACTGAACTACTTCAGTACGCGCCATAGAAGCAGCTACGGGAATCCCAAAAAGAACGGCTCATCGAATTTTAAAACGTCACAGGCTTCACCCATACCACTACAGACGTGTGCAAACATTGCTACCACGGGACTATCCACTACGGATCACATTTTGCCGTATTATGCTTCAAAAGCACCGGGAAGATCCTCAATTCTTGGACAAAGTACTATGGTCGGACGAAACAACATGCAAGAAAGATGGATATTTAAACCTCCACAACCTACACAGCTGGAGCAATGAAAATCCACACCTAATGAGACAGGAAAAATCCCAATATCAGTTTAAGGTTAACCTATGGACGGGCATATTAAATGGAAAAGTGATCGGGCCTATTGAACTACAAGGAAACTTGGATGGTGACAGTTATTTGAACTTTTTACAAAATGATTTGCCAGAATTGCTTGAAGACGTCCCCTTAAGAGATCTACAAAATATCTGGTTTCAAAATGATGGTTGCCCAGCTCACTACGCTCGTCCTGTGAGACAATACTTGGACCAAGAGTATTCCGGGCGTTGGATTGGGCGACTTGGTCCTATCTTACGGCCACCCCGATCACCCGACCTAAACCCCCTGGACTTTTTCTATTGGGGTTGTCTCAAAGACAAAATCTATGAAAAACCCATTACGACATTGGACGAGCTTCGGCAAAAAATTAGTCAGGCTGCGTCACATATCAATGCTAAAAGGCGTACCTTTTACGCAACTTTTTACGCAACGAAAAATAAAACGCTCTTTTTTAAGGCGATGTCGTGCATGTATTAATGCCGGTGGAAAACAATTTGAACATTTACTGTAATGTTAATTATTAATAAATGAATGAGACTAAAACTCACTATTGTTTTATTTCAATATTTTTTTTAAATATTAAAACATTTCGGAACAGTACAATTTATTACTCACAACTTTGGTTCTTGATTCTAAATGGTATGATTTTTAGTTTGTTGCTAGTTATCATGAAGTATTATACCATTATGGAATCTTCATGGCGAGAGTTTTAAAAACAACTTGCCGCAGTAGTGTCCATACTTTTTTTCTACATGACTGTGAGTCAAAGATTACGGAACGTAAAAATCTGTGAAAATTTAAGGAAAAAAATACATTTTGATTGTTTTTTGTGTAAATACTGTGGGCATTTTGGTGTTTTTAAGTAAATACTGTGGGCAGTTGTAGCGAATATTAGTACTACTTAGGTGTCCGATACCAAAAAAAGATTGAACATAATTGAGAAGTTGTGGTCGTGGTAGTTGAAAATATCATAAAAGGTGTAAATTTTCGAAAATTTTCGAATTTTATTTTATAATAAAAAAGATTAATAAGATATAATTTTTTTCTTATTTTTCCATAAGTACACATGAGCAGGTCTACCCCTTGGCGCCCGCTTATCGTTGAATTTTGGGACACGTTGTATACATAAACACTGTTTCAGTACATAAAAGCAAGATTCCAAATTTTGTTTTATGATTATACCTGCATTTTTAATTGGGGTGTAGAAGGATGTGCGTTATTTCTGTTATACGTTGTGTGTTTATACTTATTATAGTTAAATATGTAATTAAAAATAACTATTTATTTATATTTATATTTATATATAATTATTTACTGAGTTTTTTTTAAAGCAGATATTTATACTTACGGCTATAGAGAATGTTGTCAGTAAAAAAATAAACCTGAACCAAGTTTCCATTTGCGTGAATGCAGGATTATAGGTTTTGAACTGAAAATATATTTAAAGAATATAATTAATTCTAAATCCAAATTATTAAATTTTATTTGAATTAATTCTAGAAAATACTGCACAAAAAAAAACTATAATAATACTAACATAGAATATGATTTCTCTCATAAAGTACCGTTTATGGAACTCTTTGAGTCCATAAAATCGTATATTGAAAACATAGTGTGTGTATTCTAATGACCCTAAATGCAGAACCATGACCTCCTCGCATACTTGCTTCTTACATTTTAGATGTTGAGTTCTGAAAGGAAAATGGAGGCTGTTAATACGGCGGCCGTCAAACTGGCAGTGTGTCTAACGGTTTATCCTGACAACGGGCAATTTGCGGAGGGGCAACGACCCAATCATATTTTTTGTAGTGACGGCCTAAAGCATCTCGTCATCGAAAGAGATATAGTATCTATGATTTGAAAAAATAAATAAATATATTTGTTGGCTCTAATCTGTGCGCTTTATGGATTTACCTGTCTCGATTATAAGTTTTTTTTGGTTATACCTATGTAGAGTCAACAGCACGTTAGGCTATACAAATTTGTCCATTTGCTCCACGTAGCGTTTAAATTCAACCGTGGAAATTTTGGCATTTGTGGTAACCCGACGTACAGCGGTGTACTTTTAATAGTTACCAAGATTTAGCAATAAATTGCGTCTGTGATTAGTAATGTATGCCAGTAGGCATTAGAAAGGGGACTTACCTATTTGTAGATTCGCTTTCTTGGAGAAGACTTATTGTTTTATGGTCACTCAAAACCTCATCTATGGATATGCTGATTTGAAAACTTTTATCGAATATTTCCTCTGTAATAATAGCAATTAACATTAACGATAAAGTTGACTAAATGAATTAAACAATACACTCGACAGTGGTTATAAGATTTACAATAACATGCTGTATCTGTATAAGGAATTACTAACAATATTAGACAATATCTCATGATATGCAAGCATAGGCAGGGAACCAATCAAGGTTCCCTGCCTATGCTTGTTAGTACAGGATGAATCTGCAGTCATCAACACGCAAATCTGCATTTCTTTAAGTTTCAGGTTATATTTTGAAAGCTAGAAAGTTGCTTATCGAGCTATAGATTTCGCCTTTTCGAATAATTGTAAATATAAAATACTATATTAATTAAGAAATGTTAGAATTTGGTAATGACTTTAAACATGTGTGCTCAGCAAGTAAATTCATTATGTATAACCAGGAGTTATTAAAACCTATAATACTACTATCGATGTTGATTATGTTTTCCAGTACGAGGAATTTCATAAAGGCAAAACTGACTGAGGCAAACAAACTACATAGTAAATAAATATAAAGTGGTCACCATCATCGTTGTTAGTCAATATTTCTGCGAATAACCACAACTGCTGCACACGCATTCCAAGCGTAGGGCTGTGCAGGTGGAACGGACCCTCATATACGGTACTGGCGTTGGTTAATAAGGTCGATGCAGCGACTGATGTGGTCATTGTTGGCGATGGACCTGAAAAATGTGTTTCTGACCTCGTAATCCGTAGGCGAATCACCTATTTATGTGGTCTACGAAGATGTAAATTGTGTTAAACGAACATACATTGGACGCGGTGTATTCGAAAAATAAATAAATATTTGTAGATTCAAATACCTTACTCAAACATAATACATAAGACGTGAACACTGTAAATCTATTATTAATTTATTTATCCATTAAAATAATGTTTCTATGACTCTGCCTGGTCGGTGATTATTATTGAATGAATAAATAAATAAATAAGTGTGAAGAAATTCTTTAAAAGATAGGCATTAATTGCGTTCTTAATCGTCTAGAAGTTCGATTATGCTCTCTTAATCTAAGGATTATTATAAAGTTTAAAGAATGCGTTGATTGTTATATTACCTGCCAATCCTATGAACACACCTAGGCCGAAGCAAGCAAAAAATGCTATAAAAACCATTACAAATTCCCCTTTGTGCATTGAATATATCCTCATTTGGACAGACCTAAAAAAACATGAAACAAAAATAATAACACCCGTACTATAATTGCGCCGTTAGCAACAATTTAATATAGGTGATCCTCATTTAATATACCTTTCACAGCGGTCATGGTGATATGCAGGCGCTATATATTTGTTAAATTCACTAAATAAATCACTAAACTGGGATAATGTATTACGTATTTTATAATTCCATCCTCCTGTTGGTAAATGGTAAGAATATCCCACGTTTGCTGAATCCATGGTGACTTTAGTAATACATATGATGATTATCTTATATTTCTAAAGCAACGTAAATATTAAATAATTATATAACTACTGGAAATAATTACACATAACGTAAATTATTGTGTATATATAAAAAAGTGTCAGAAACAAAACTGTTTGCCCCACATGAGGGTCTTGTTTACAAGCAGATTATTGATTTTAGCGCGGTTGCGCATGGGGTTACCGTTACAATCGCAGTGTTGCATGAAATAAATAACGTGACGTGGCAAGCAACGTGGATTATGAAAATAAATTTAAACAAAAAAAATATTATAATAATATTGTAGATTTAAATATAATAATATAATATCATTATTAGAAATGCTGCAGATTTGTTTAGGAAACATATTTCTCAGTTATTTAGGTAGGTAAGAATACTTATTATGTAGAATGACTAACATCTACCCTCTGCCTTGGCTGCTAAATCTCGACGAAATAGAAGAAATTCTGCGTGCATAATTGTTTTTCACACACTTGTCACTGACTGTGATGGTAAGCTAGTCCATATCCCTTTCTTTTTGGACTAATGTTATAGGGGAAGTCCGGGCAACGCGAATAGGTCAGGCAAAGTGAATACCTCACATTATTTCAAAATGGCGTATTCGTGCAAGTCCGTAGCTTGCCATGAGGTCCGCCCCCCTCTCCTCAGTCGTAAACAAGCAGAGCAAACGCAAGGTCGCGCGTCGTTTGTGAAAAAAAGGCGAAGAATAATAATATCACAATTTGTTACGATATTTTATGGTACTTCTTTTAATTATTACTATTGTGCCTATAGTGTTACTCTTTTGGAATCATTATTGACGTAAAGTGCATGTTTTCTTGTTGAATTACTGCGATATTCATTAAGTTATTGTGTCTGGATTTGATTGTAGGTTAGTTTTCGTTCAAAAAGTGCCTGTCGCACAAAGCGAACACGGGCAAAGTGGATATGGTATCCACTTTGCCCAGTAATGATGTGGCTCGATTATTTACTCCAGCATATTTAAAAAGTGCTACTGCCAATGATGCCATTAAAAGGTTTCAATCTCCAGGAATTTGGCTAATTAATATGGATATATGGGAAGATAAGGATTATGCACCATCCTCTACAACAATGATGAAACCTAACACCGCAAATACAAAAGCAGCATTTCATGAAACAACTAATCGAGATGTGTTAACTGCAACGGTAGACCATGGCGCGGTGCCTACGACGTCAGGGTTTCAATGTTCATTTGGACCAAATAAAGCTTCGGAAATTTACGATCATGATTTTAGTGACGAAGAGGTCGAACCTGCTGGACCTATTTGTGTAACAGTTCAAATTCATACCTCAACAATGAGAGAAACGAATGATTCGGCGTTGGAGTCTGTCTTTTGTCCTGGAATTAGCGAGCCTGGAGGAGTATCGCCAACAATAATTCCAGAAGTAAATCAAGAAGATCCATTTAAAATCTCTAAAAGCCCTGCTAGATATTTTACTTCTGACATTCAGCACACCTCTGGATCAAAAGATGACTTATTGATCTCCGAAGAAATCTATGATCAAACTAGGTCAAGATCATGCACACCTAATGTTACTGATGACCACGTCATTCCAGCAGCTAATAAAGCAGAGATCAGTGCTACAGATTTAATGAGTACTTCGACTTTACTTTCAAATAAAAAACCTGCAATATATCAGACTTCACCTGCCGCTTATTTGAGTCCAAGAGAAATAAGACCACTTCCAAGTCCTTTCGTTCCCATGGGAACACGAAAAAGATATATTCAAAGGTCTGAGGTGCTTACTAGCACACCGGTTAAGGGAGAACAGAAAATTAAATTTGTTAAAGCAAATACCAAAGCATTAAAAAATATGAACAAAAATTTAAAAAGAAAGACTAGACCGAAGAAAAAGACCAACATAACCAAAAATATTGAAGCGAGAAACACTAAACTTAAGAAATTTAAACTAAAGAAAATGACGAAAACTGCACGTGCTATTTTTGTGGGGAAAATTATGTTGAAGTTAATGGGCAGCCAGTTGATGATTGGATCCAATGCAGTTCCTGCAAGAAATGGAGCCACGAGAAATGCACAGCATATGAGGGAAAGGGCATTTTTCTTTGTGATAACTGTACTGATAAGTGATTAGTTACTTTTTTGTTATCTTTACTATATATTTTATTCGTAATTGTTCCTAGTCTGATTGTGTTCACTTTGCCCTTTGGTACTATCCACTTTACCCGATGGGTTGGGCAAAACGGATAGAAGCGAAGGATGCAATTTAATCAAATTTTTTAAGAAAAGTTATTAAGTTACGTTTTTGTTTGTTGATTTCTTTTAAACTTTAATAAAGACTGATTCATATTCCGTCACTATTTTATTTCTATGTCTAGTAGATCACATTCCATAGTCTTTCAAAGCTTAAGATGTCCGCTTGGACTTCCCCTAACGTTAAGCTCCAAATTTCTAAGTTTATCAATATAACTGGAAGACGCAGGCAACGTTAGGTAACCTTTAATTATGGTGTGCACATACAACAAACTATTGTAACTAGGTAAATTATTTGTATACTGAATTGCTCAATAAATTATTTATCCTGCTTAGAATTCCTAGAAATATTCTCGAATAGATTTTTATAGTGCGACTCAATAGTCGCACTATAAAAACCTATTCGAGAACATTTCTAGGTAAGGTTAAGATATTTTTTTTTATCAAATAATAAGCAATCTTTGTCATTTATTATTTGATACAATAAAAACGATTTACTTAAATAAACGATCGATCTGGGTTATTTATCAGACGGCCATTAGAGAAGATACTGATGTGTTGATACATAATGTACCTAATGAATGACTCAGATACACTATAATACGCCATGAAGTCTATTAAGGATTACGGGGATTCAAAAACATAGAAATGGTAGAAATAATTACTCGGCTATGAACTAAATATGAGTCCACGGACTCGACAAAACTCGATATATTTATAGAATACATATAAGGAGGGGACGAATGCGAAGGCGTACGTACTCTACTGGTACGGTCGCAGCGGCATAGGGAGGTGGCGCGTTAATTCAAAGGAGCGATTATGTGGTTAAAATAGACATTCGGACTTTGGATGTTATAATTGGAATTGAGAATATCAAGGCAGAATCAGGACGGGTGCATTGTGTTAGAAACTCAGATTTTGTCTCATCATGTTTTTATTACACTTTTCAATAATAACCATTTTAATCAATACACTGAAGCTCCGAGATCAATCGAGACCCTTAGCAGAGTGAACGAAGTTTAATTGTAAAAAATGACAAAGGTATATCATCATCAGCCCTTTTACGTCCCCACTGCAGGAGCTCAGGCCTTCCATATGGATGGTTAAGGAGGATGGGCCATGACCCTCCACGCTGGCCTAATGCGATGTTTTAACGACTGCATATGCAGCCGGGACCAACATCTCAATGTGCCTTCCGAAGCACAGAGTAGCTCGAGATACCAATTTTTCTGGTCACTCATCCCGTGACCGACCCTTGCGAAAGTTGCTTAACGACAACGATCGCGGGCCGCGGCGCTTATCCACTACGCCACCGAGCTACTCCAAACCATGACCCGTATAACCTCCAAAGGTATATACGGGACATGAAAAACACAAATATATAAAAAATAAGCTTTTTATTTCAAAATTGAATATAATAAGCCAAAATCACCCTTATGATGTGACTTTTAGCCCACAGGTCGTTCAAATGTACATAATACCTTCATCATGATTAGGATTTTGTTTTGACAAATAACGTGACTTTTAAAAACTTCCTCAACAAAAACTTACTGTTATTTCTGGAATTCAACAATATTTTTTTTTCAAAACTTTTTTGTAGAAATAAGTACCTAAATAATAATATGCATCATTTTGTAGCAGAGATATTGATTACTACTAAATGTCAATAACTCATTAAAATGACATTTAGAAACGACTTCCTTGCATGTAAATAAAAATTTTGTTTTGATTTTTTTATTTCAGAATATATAAATAAGTAAACAATAAATTCGGAAGAATAATAACATTTATTACAACAATATTGATTTAAAACAATCAACTAAATTTATTAAATCAATCAAATACATACAATATTTTTTTCTCATAAAAATACAATCAAAATAATAAGGCAACTTACACGAATAAGAACTCAAAATAAAACAATATTTAATAATAATATGTTATTTCTCTATAATAGATCTATTGCGATAACATACATTTACAAAAAATACACTGGTGCATAATATATTAATTACATAATATTATTGATCATATTAAAAGATAGATTATTACATAATTTATATTGATTTTTATGACAAGAAAATTGCAAAACAGCATTGCATAATAGTAGGTACACTTACAATTAAATAACATACTTTCGCACTTGATGAGAGGGTATTTTGGTAACAATTGTACTAAAGTAAATACTTATTACGTAAAGCAATCCTGAATCTTATAATCAATTTATTAAGAGAAAAGTATTTACTTCAAAATCGCAGAACTAATAAAAATATTTAAATACAATATTATATAAAAATATTTTTTTATTCAAAAGTATGTTAACACTACATCAAATATAAAGTTAATATAATTATGTATATTATTTTTTTAGTCCAATATCTACTATACTGTAACACTTTAACGTTATTAAAAGACTTCAAACAGTATGCGAATATGACTAGTTAACTAAAAATATCTATATAATTAAACCAACCGTGACAAATATAGGTAAGCATTAGCTCGCCTGGTGAGCACTAAATGAAAATGGTTGCAAAACCTGGCTTTCCCAAAAATTTCTTTTTGATTTAGAATTGATGTTGTAGAAAAATAAAACTTGGAAGTGATGGAAGACGGTATGAAAATAAATATAAAGAATTTTTTTTGAAGTAGTTGAATTTAAATCTCAAGTAACATGGATATTTCAGGGTAGAAGTAGTATTTTTGAAAGGCGCAAACAAGTAGGGTAGTTTCACGAATTTGCAGAAAAACAAAAATTTACATTTAAATAAACAAATGTATTTTGATTTTGAGATATCAAATTGCATGATCATTACTGGAAGCGTCTGTTTTGTATACATATCCGAATGAAGTACTGAAGATGGCGGACACGGTTTATGTGCGTATAAAAGTCAAAATTTTGATTTAATTGGAAGGCATGAAAATGTTTTTTTTCCAAATATTTGTTTTGTGGCTTATAAATTAAACAAGAAATAAGTACTTATAACTTTTTCAATCAGAGAAGAATACGCCATTTTAGCCAACAGTAATGTTCCTTGTTTGCACGCCAGCCGTGTTCATTTATTATTGGTTGATAGGCCTGCGCCATATTTGATGCCCGAGGTATACGTCTTTTCAATGCTATGTACATTTAAAGACAAAATAAACTACCTGAGCATTTTTAATTTCAATAATGATGTCTTTAGTAAAAGAAGTTGGCGCTTAAAGGAACTTCAAAATTATATTAAAAAAATATATATATAACAATAATGACTGTGTGTTAGGTAAGAACTAAAGGGGTCCAACGTTGTAATAATCGTACAGGGAATGATAATTATCGACGCAGAGGAAATAGTGGGCACCAGCTAGAATGTTAAATACAGCGGTTGTGGAGTTTAACTAAAGAGTTGAAGCGATCAGTGCTCACCATTCGCATCTTATTCTATATTTTTTTGACTAATAATAATTTAGAAGACAAATATCAAATTATTTTATTATAATTGCCATAATTTTAAATCTATTTGGCACAATTATATTAACAAAAGTCTCCTAATTATTCGTCCAATCTTCAACGAGTAGAGAGACAGTTCATGAAGTTTGAATATGCTTGGTGGTATTTTTATGCTTGGTGCTTGGTGGTATAAGTATTGACGCTGGACGTTGGCCTGATGGACGGTAATGTTGCAGTCGGATTAAATTAAAATAAATCAGATCGTGTATTACATAATGCTAAATATTTTTTATGTCTAGTGACTACGTTTATTTATATTTGTAAAACATTACGTTAAGACGCCATCTATTTATTACATAAGATAATTCAGGGGGAAGATGGGCTATTTATCTTACTTCTTCTTACTCGGCGGAAAGGCACTGCCTTGATAGTTTTTTTAAATAATGAGAATAAGATTCTTGTGTAACAATGATTCAACAGAAGGAACTTTGACTTGTTAATTAGAAAAGAGACATATAAATGGATGATGCCTTAACTGCTTTGCTAAGTTATATATATTTAATAACTTGAGACAAATTGTTAATCATTTCTCTTTACATAAATTGCTTCTGTCCTATTATAAAATAAGGAATAACTTTATAGTACCAAGTTTAAACTATTATCCGACCAAAATAAGTCAATATGTATTAATTTCTTTATTCAACTTCATATTATTTTTAGTCGGTGAATTGTCCTTAGGCGGCAATGGTTTAAACCAATGACAAACCTTGGTCCTCATTTTATAAAAGAAGGTTAGGATTGGTGGTGGCAGGCGATTGTCATATGTAATAATTAAGTAAAATATCAAACATTACTTATAATTATTATAAATTTGGTGGGGCTTCTGTGACGTTTGCAGAACGGTTCGTGGGCGATGTATTGTCTACGTCGCTGACGGTGGGAGTGTTGCTAAAGTCTGGTAATGTGGCGGTAGTATTACTTGACGATGCAGTTATATCAGATGCGCCGCTAGATGGCGTTGTAGAATGGGCCATTCTGGCGTCTGTAATAGTATACGAGGTAAAATCGACTGCTGATAACGCTAGATAATGTTTTTAAATAATTTTAACTTATCATACGAAAAAGTTTTATCAGTGCACAAGCTAATTATTATATGCATTATGGTACGTCATAGACATTTGTCTTCTTTTAACTTGCTAACTTCGAAGAGAAAAAGAACGTACTAGAGTGCCTTGGCAAGTGCCATTAAAAGTTGGCGTATTTTATCAGGATTTTAAAATGGTACAATACTTAATAATTTTATACTTAATAAAAACGAGTTAAAAAATAAATCTGCGACTTACTCGATATTTGCTAACCCGTTTTACTCAGTTAAAATTTTTGATTCGCTCAAACTCTTGGTGGGTTCTTAATTTTACAGCAAAATGATGAGATAATGGACACATTTGCCATGATTGAGCGAGTCTGTCTCGCTCAATCATGGCAAATATGTCCACTATCTGTAGTGACGCCACTTTTACCAAAGTCAACAAAAGTAAGTAAAATTAAGACCTCCTTAAGTTTAGGTTTATTGGAATAAAAATCAGATGATGGAATAAAAATCAGTTGATGTCCTCAGCAGCTCAAGAAATCCGTTCACGCAGCTCGGCTACGCTCTCAATGGGCTCTGAATAAATATTTGAGAGCGCCCCGATTAAAAAAATCCAGGGGATTCAAATCTGGGGAACGAGCTTACCACGAGATAGTGCGTGAACTGAGTCAAGGAAATCTCTTACTTGCACTGCATAATAGGCTGGGCCATCTTGTTGATACCACATGTGGTGACGATCTGTTAGAGGTACGTTCTCTAACAAAGTTGGTAAATCTTCTCTTAAAAAATTAAGGTAATTCGTGTCATTCAAGTTGTCAGGCAGCTCAAAAGGCTCAATAATTTTGCCGTTTAAAATTCCGGTCCACAGATTTACTTTTAAACAATACTGGGATCTGTCTTCTCGCATTAAATGTGGAGAATCCCACATGCCACTCGTGAAAATTGTGTAAGTTTATGTATCTTTTTTAAATGTAGTTTCATCTGACCAGACAATTTTTTGGATGAATTGGGAATTTTCATTATGCCTCTGTAGCATTGTTCTACAAAATAAAATCCTGTCAGGATAATCTCGAGGGAGAAACACTTTGAACTCGTTTTATATGAAACAGATGAATTCCGGCACTTTGTAAAATACGATGTGCTTAATTTTTGGCTATTCACGTTCTTTTTTCAATTCCACGAACAGAAACACTCGAGTCATCTGCGACCTCTTGCAACATCTCTCCCTCGTAAGGAAAGCGAGGTCGCCTTCAGCCCGTATTTCATTCGGGAAATAACCGCCCTTCGTGAGTGAACGGTGTGCATTAACAAACACGCCGTGATCCGAATAGCGCTCTAAATTTGGATATCTTTCACGATAAAGTCTAGCGGCGGCATCTACATTCCCCATAAATGAGGTGCATGTTCGTATATTCTTGTGAAGCGAAGCGCGTAGGCATAGTAGATAACAAGGATGCCAACACAAAAGTCCAATTCCAAAAGAGATAAGCCAAAATTTCCGGTATGTAATCAACAAGTCCTATTCACAACACAATACATAATATTATTGACATTTGCATACCTTATTATAATATTTATCTTTTGCATTTATTAGTTTTTTGTTGTCATGGAAATAAAGAGGCTTATTATTATATTCTAGGTAAAATGAGCAGGAGTCTGACTTCTAAAATGTACCTACATTTATGCAAATAAATTATTAACAAATACAAAAGCTTGTGCGAATCAAAAATTTTTACTGAGTAAAATGGTTTAGCAAATATCGGGTTACTTGAATTTATTTTTTTACTCATTATTTTGAATATGAAACTAACAAGGATTGTACTAATTTAAAATCCCGATTGAACGCGCCAACTTTTAATGGCACTTGCCAAGGTTACGGTTGAAAGAGTTTAAATAAACCAAAATAATAAAAATTCTCAACAATAAGCGAAATATGGTTACAGTTTGACCAAATTTCTGGGATTTTCTTAAATGTCCATAATATTCAAACTGCATGGGATAATTTTTTTTCATATTTTTTCTCACAATGGTTACAATCAATGCTAACACTCAATCTCGGCTTGACGTTGAGTTCTGGGACACCCTGTATATATTATAGACTATAAAGTATACGTTTTAATGTCATTTGTAGGTCATTAACTTACTTGTCACATAGTTCTTAAACCAAGCGTTGATGTCAGCTGCGTATCGTTGTAACCACGCGATGCGTAGTGTGGCTGTATCGATCAACTTCTGTAGAGTTTGCGACATCGGCAACAACTGTTGTTTGTGTTTCACCGCTAAACTCTTCAGCTGGAAACGAAAATAGGATTGAAGACACGCAGATTTTTGGAACCGTCAATGTTTATAAAATGTTGTCGTCAATCGGAAAACTGTAGCTTTGATATTTTCGGTCATATGTTTGCTACAAAATGTTAATCGTGGACTTCACTTTTAATACAATAATATTAAGGTCACAATTCATTTATAACTGTAATGGATTTCCGATTTTAAACTATAAGTATTAAAGGTTACAATAAATTGGAAAAATCTGACAGTTTTGTATGTGATGTGCTGTTAACTATACCTCGTTGAGTTCGTCCTCATTGTATATGCCTCCGAATGCACCGCTCAGTACAGCGGGGAACATGAACGAGTCCATGTTACTAAACTTGCTGTGGACCCGATCGAAGTTGTTTATAAGGAATTGTTGGGCTAAACGCGTTCCAACCGGCGATTCCACGCTCCAAGCCGCAACCGCGTACTGTTTAGGTATCTCCGTCAAACTCTTCTCTAGCAACCTGACAGTGGTATTGAATGGTAAGAATTAGAATTTGTAGCGAGCACATGACAATATTATTTTATGTGAGTGGACCTGCCCACCCTGAATTATGTTATTTTTTTCTTCGAAATTTGTCAATCGTGTTATATTTTCAATACTAACGATTTTAGTACTAGACTAGCTCACTAAAAAAAAAAATCTTTTGCTCTACTGCTATACTATATGTCGCATCATCATTACGAAGATCGTTTGATTTAGTTTCTTTTATTTTAATTGCTAGTTACTCGATTACTTAATTACTCGATTGTAAAGAGAGCGTGATCATCCATAACCTTAATTTTATTAGAATGGTGACACTGACTTTGACAGTTCGTTAATAAAAAGCAAGTTGCCGCCATTTTGGCACACATTCTGTCTCCGATCGCCGAGGAGTAAAGACATCTGACGACATCACGCTCATCTCGTTATATTTTCATGTGAAAAGTGAATAAATGGAATAAATCCACGTTGGTATACACGCCTGCAGTGTTATTTTAAAGATAGTCCTCCGATATGGATTATCTATTTGGGCTTCGCAATAGCACCTTCTGATTATCGGCCGTTATCAGAAGTGGGATGTAACCGACCAAGTGGATACACAGATGGATATGGAAAATCTTGTTGCGGAAACAAAATCAAAACTTTTTCAAAACTTCGTCACATGTGCCGTCGTCGAATCACATGTGCATCTGCCTGAACTCGATCGTGGCAAAGTGAGTGTGGACGTAATATTTCTGCCTGTCACGTTCTTCAATTGTGGAACAGATGGTCACTACTCTCAAGATGCCTGTAACCGAAGAAGATGCAACGGTGGCAAAACTGATGGCTCGTCTGCTGGCATTGTTAGTGAGCGACGTGTAGACGTCTGCATCATTGCTACCCTTGCTAGTATTTTGCAGTATTTTGGTGAGTCGTTTTCATTTTGTTATGATACTGGAGTCGAGTGCTCCCTTATAAAGTAATGAATATCGTGAAGAGTTCATGGCAATCGAATTAGTAACTCTTAAAATCACTAGTTAAGTGAAAATAAAATTGAAAAAGTGTGATTGCATTGCTGGTTAAGTGATGCAATCGAGGTTTTCAAACCGGTTTGTTGTTTATGAATAATTTCATTGTAAATAAGATTTAATGATAGGATTTATCAACTCTTAAATTCTTATTACTAAAGAAACTTAAAGTAAAAACGGTCTCTAATTAATAAAGTTTCGATTGGTTTCAAATTCTTACTTTAGTTAAAGTCAGGACTGACCGAGAAAAGAATCTACCGCGCTACATATCAATTAGATGCCTAGTAAATGGTTAGTGGTATTATTAGGCACTCTATATTTCTCGCTGTTTGATCGAGAGATAACATTTTCATGAAAGTTCAATTCAACAATCAAAAATTTCTTGTGAAAAGACTGTATAAATCTCATCCTATGAACTTCTCAACTTTTAAGTCGTTTCACAGAGCCTCTGGGGACCACGGTCATAAATAAGGCCCAGACCCCAGCTTCGTCCTTCCCGTTTCCTTTAGAGCCTTTGGGGACCACGGTCTCATGTAAGACCCAGACCCCAGCATCGACCTTTCCCCATCTCCTTTTGAGCTACTGTGGACCGCTCATGACCACAGCATCATATTTGCTACGAGTACAATAATCAATGCAAGTATGCGTGGAGCATTTGCATTGACCAAATATACTTGATAAAACAGCTCATTTTCCTAAACAATTTCCTATATTTTCCTAAACCTTTCCTAAACAACTTAACTACCGTTTTTATAACAATTGTGATAAAATACCCGTTGGTAATGAATTTGATGTTTAAAAAAAAATGATTGCCGAAATCTTGTTCAAATCAAAATTCCCAAATTACTAGGTTTACAGATACATAGCTCAGAAAAGCTCTTGTATTTTGTTACAGAAACGCGACTGGCGCAGAGCACGCACCGTCTCCCAGAATGGCCGTGTCGCATCATCATTACGAAAATCGTTTGATTTAGTTTCTTTTATTTTAATTGCTCGTTACTCGATTACTTAATTACTCGATTGTAAAGAGAGCGTGATCATCCATAACCTTAATTTTATTAGAATGGTGACACTGACTTTGACAGTTCGTTAATAAAAAGCAAGTTGCCGCCATTTTGGCACACATTCTGTCTCCGATCGCCGAGGAGTAAAGACATCTGACGACATCACGCTCATCTCGTTATATTTTCATGTGAAAAGTGATAAAATGGAATAAATCCACGTTGGTATACACGCCTGCAGTGTTATTTTAAAGATAGTCCTCCGATATGGATTGTCTATTTGGGCTTCGCAATAGCACCTTCTGACTACCGGCCGTTATATAAATTAGTGTTTTATCAATCTGTGGGTCGCGATCCTCATAGGGGTCATGGAGCTTTACTCGGGAGGTTGTCGGAAAAATGAATCATATGGTTGCTATTTTTGAAACGTTGCTGAATGAATAATTGTTACCTAAATAAAAAAGTGATAAATGTATTATTTTAATTACAACTAAAAAAGTCTTTCTGGGGGACAAGATGGCTTAAATTTTTCTGTCGGGTCCTGTATTCAAAAAGTTTGAATATTACTGCGCCAAATTGACACTGGTTACATTGTAATTAAAAAAACCTAATAGGATTAAGTTTATTAACTAATATTATATAAAACAATCTGTTTTATACTAACGTAGTGATGAGTGCCTCGTCCCTGGTACTCGGCAGCGTGTTGATAGCGAGACTTTTGACATTAGGATCAGTGGATTCAATGAACACACGCCACATAAAGTCAAACTCACGCCTCCCGCCATATTTCAAAGCCACACTATACACCAGCGAGCGCAGGTAATTCGGTATACTGTAAAACACATTTGACAATAAAAAAATTAATTTTTAGGGTACAGTAGCTTAATTTGCAAAAATGGAATTTGCAGATTCGTGTTTATCAATCTGTCCTTTAGGTGTAACAGTCGCTAATAAGACTACAAAGTTGAAGACTTGGCGTATTCTGTAAACGTTTTCGATATTTATTTAAAAAAAATAATGGTTTAGTCCCCATACCCGGAACTGAAACTAAAAACCTATACATGCGTCTTCATAGACAAAGTTTTAGAATTACGTTGAGGTTCTAAAAACTTTTTCTCGAGGGTGATGGGGTCAAGGGGTGTCTGAAAGATAGTAATTTTTGCCGTACGTCTTAAGTATATAACACAACTAGTGTTCTAGTACACGCAGTCATCATACGTAAATGAATATGTGATATGAGAGACCCGTGGAGCGTTTTATATCGTTCAATTAAAATTGCGACTAATATAGTATCTAATAAATCACAACAAATGGTGGCTAGCGAAGTGAGTTTCGTAATGACATAGGGATTGAATATCAGAGACACGTACGAATCGATCAATCTTGTTTTGTATTTTTATAGATAACTAGCTGACCCGACAGACTTCGTCCTGTCAAAAAGATTTGTAATGTGGCAGTTTTTTTGCCTACGTATTTAAAAAAATTCTCCTGAACAGAACCGTCACCCTGGTGATAGGGCGTTGTGAATAAAAAATAATTAAATAAAACATATATACGGATTTAAAAGTAAGTAATCGCTTTATTGTTAATCATGTGAATCATAATTATTATTGCAATGTATTAATAGTAATAGTATTAAATATAGAAAAAAGAGATTTTTATGATCATAAAAACACATTACACACAACAGCATTATAAAAGTAAACTATTCGAATTAAAAAAATATATAAACATTCTCAAGGAAAAATGCTGGAAGAATCCATCTACCTGTACCCCGGAATGGGATTCGAACCCATTCGCGATCCAGGGACTGCTCTAACCAATGAGCTATCTAGGACCCAACAGCTTTGCTACTACAGAGCGTATTTTCATCAATGTTCCGGCAATACATGTAATGACGTGGAAACTGATGCATTTTATCTCGCGTGCCGAAACTAATACAAAAGAAACGCGAGTTTCGGAACGCGACATTAAACTCCTCCAACTATGTATTCTGTGCTCCAACGCACACACGCACATTGTTTTGATAGATATGATCTTTGACGTTAGGAACACACCTACATTGCTTAGACAACAGTGAGTGCTTGTAATTTAATATGAACTTTATACCATAGCAATAAAGCTCAAATTGACTACGTTTTAGTTACAAATCATTTGTATGGGAAAAAGAAAAGGGCTATTTTTAGGGTTTTTCCAGAAATAATTCTAATTTTTCTCGTTCCATCAAAACCATCCTTGAACTTCAACGAACATTTTAAAAAAAGATTTGGCCAAATTGGTCGAGGCGTTGTTGAGTTATGCGCTTACCAACACATTTTGCGATTCATTTTTATATATATAGATAATGAAGTAATAGAATTTCTATATTAATATAAGTAAAGCGGATTCGCTTTCAAAGTAAATTCGGGTTCTGATTTTTATGGAATCGCTCTGTACATTACTAACAACTGTTAATTTTTCTCAGTAATTTGATAATTTTGAATCAATTGGAGATATTTTCAAAGAAGATAAGCTAATATCTTTTTTACTGTACAACCGGCAAACGCGATTCTGCATGCGTAGTATGACAACCTCGACAAACATTTATCTACAAAATACTAAATGTTACTTTTCTCGAGTGCGCCAACTCTCGACCCTTTTCTCGAGTCTGTCGAGTACGTCATGCTGGGCGAGCAAGTTTTAAAATTATTTAGCTTACGGGTTATCCTTGATATCGGTCTGGTTCATCCAGGCATCGAACAGGTTTCGTGCCCAACTGAGGCAACGAGGAGATTCCATGACGCATTCCCACATGACCAGGTTCTCAGCTAGGAAAGCTTCGTTATCGTCTTTAGGTTTGTTTAGACCGTAATTGAGACGTTCCAATTGAGTCTTCAATATCATTCTCATGTAGTCCTATGGAAGTACGTAGAATTGTATATTTCAAGGATCTTCGGTCTTAGGTGATAAGGTATTCTATTATAACATAATAAACAATAAAATTTATTTCGAAAAACAAACACGTTTTCTTGTCAAAATTTTAACTTTTTTATACCGAAGCAAACAAAGTCCGCCATATTCATGACGTAATTCCGATATGTATACAAAACATATACATAGATTATATTAGTAATAGATAAGAAGATGTACATCAGACAAGAATAGTGCCATCTAACAATCTAGTTAATATCAAAAAGAAATAAGAACAGCTCATCTAAGCGTATTAATATATACTGACTTATAATAAATAGTTATCTGTTTAATACTAATGTTGCCAAATTTTAAGATAATTATGTAATTTTACGGATCAAAATCAGAATATAGAAATTTTTGTTTTAATGTAAATTTTAGTTATCAAGCCCTTTAGTGACTTATTTTTCACTACTGAAATTCTTAAAAACAATTTTTAACATTTCACTTCACTGATTTGGCAGCTCTTTAAAATAATAGAATCTACGAGTATATATAGTACATATTCATAACATTATGATGTAGCATATAACACATTTAAGAAATAATACTCACTTGAAAATAGACATATCCCGAAGTAGCTTTCAAATTATGCTTCAGGAAGTTCATATTATTTAACAACATATCCCATACTATCCTTGAGTCTTCACCGTTCGCAACACATGTGGTAAGGCCCAATGCGTAACTGTATTCGAGTTGTGCAACTTTGGCCAAGTTGAACGAGTCGTCAATAAGCTGTGCTTTAGCTATAGGCGACTTTATCCGGCCAGATTTCAACGCTGCATTGAGTAGCTCCCAGTTTTTTTTGTCGTAGTTCACGCGATAGTAACCTTTAAGAAATGAAAAAATAATCTAGTTTTGAACAAAAAGTAAGCTTCTTCTTTCTTAAATTAAATCGTATAGTGATTGCGATATATGGTATTACATCATTTCGCATTCGCTTTTGGAATGGATGATGATTGAATGATCAGGAAACATACTAAAAATTTACCTAAACCCGTCGAAGGATTGCAGTTAGTATTCAACTCTTTTTGCCTTAGACAATTACAATTTATGTTAAATGGCTGATATCGTTAATTCAATATCTCTAATTCAAAATGAAACGGATTGCAACAAATTTAATTTTAGGCAATTACTCCCAGGCGACTGGCGGAGGCGTAGTACGAACTTAGTAAACGAGTGTTACTGCGGCTATGCTGACTTCTTATTTGATAACGTTAAAGTTCAATATCGTACTCACCAATAGCATCCACGTTGACGTATAGAGCTTCGCTACTATTGATAGGTAATTGCGTCACTTTTCTACGGTTTGTGAGCCACAGTTTTGGTTTGGTGGTCCAGTCTACTTGTGGACTGTCGATGACGGCGTAGCTGATAGGAATATACCACAATTGGTCAAGCATTTTGGAGTAAGGATCCTTGGTACTCGAAAACAACCTCTGAAATAAAACGAATTGCCAAATTTATTGATTGATATGTTTTTTATAATTAATTCACATACACTTAAATTATTGTCATTGTAGAAGGCACCCCACCAAACCTCAATTTTTGCGAAAAAGGTAAAGGTAAGGTAAGTGAAAACTTCAGCCAAAATGAATCAAGATACCGTGTTAGAAGCCTACATATTCAAAAACTAAGTGTGGACATTCCAACAGGATTCGGCCCCGAGTCATAAGGCGCGCACTACCCAAATTTGGCTTGAGCAAAATGTTCCAGACTCCATAAAGGCTGATGATTGGCCTTCGGCTAGTCCGAACTTTAACCCTTTGGACTATAAATTGTGGTCTGTGCTAGAGGACATGGTCTGCTCTAAGCATCACCCAAATATTGAGTCGCTCAACAAATTTTTGTAGGCAGTAGTGACCAAGTTTCCAATGGAAACCGTTCGTAAATCAATCGACGAATGGCCCGAACGTTTAAAAGCGTCACTTTGTATAACTAGTTTAGTACGTTAACATATCTTTTTCACTTTTTTTTTTTTTTTTTTTTTTTTTTATGTATAGGAGGGCAAATGACTGCGCTCCACCTGATGGTAAGCGGAGGCGTAGTCCAAACGTGAGGACAGCTAGTGAAAACAGTACGTAGGTACTGCACTAGCCAACCTCACCTTGCCGACCTGCAAGGTGCTTCTTCACGCCCCGCTTGAAGGACCCCATGTCATAGGAAGGAGGGAATACATGGGCCGGGAGACAATTCCATTTTTTGGTAGTACGACAAAGAAATGAGTCGCCGAATTTCTTTGTACGCGAAGGAATCGCTGCCACAGTTAGTTGGTGGCAACGCAAACCAGCACGTGTGGTCCTGAGGAAGAAGGGAGATGGAGGGATAAGCGAAAAGAGTTCTTCAGAGCATTCACCATGGTAGAGACGGTAGAAGACGCTGAGCGAAGCAACGTCTCGGCGCAGTTGCAGGCTTTCTAGGTTCTTGGTGACTTCACCATTGCCAATAATGCGTACTGCGCGGCGCTGCAATCTATCCAAAGCATCGAGTAAGTACCTAGCGGAGCCATCCCAAAGGTGCGAGCATGTCCGGACCTGCGTTTTGTATAGCAGGCGCAGTTGTTCGGGCGTGAAAAAACGCCGCACCTTATTCAGGACACCGAGTTTACGAGATGCTGTTTTAATAACGGACTCGATGTGGTTTTTGGGATTCAGATCACAGCGCACTTCCATCCCGAGCATGTTGATGCTGCTCTGTAGAGGCAAGGTTGTGCCCTGAAGAGAGGGAAGGGAAGGGAATGGAGGGGTCTTGGCGGTAAATACGCAAACCTGAGTTTTCTTGGCATTGAACTCAACCAGATTTTCAGCACCCCATTTCGATATGAGATCCAGAACGTGATTAAGCTCAATGACAAGATTCTCCCTTTTCTCCAGGATTTCCGCCCGTCCGACTGTAGGAGCCCCGTGATATTCCACATGCACTGTGCTATCGTCTGCATAGCAATGGATATTTCCAAGTGGAAGCATGTCATTGATATGCAGCAGAAAAAGTGTAGGGGATAGAACGGAGCCCTGAGGCACACCGGAGTTGACTGACATAAGCTGTGAAGAGCATCCGTCAGAAAGAACACGGATTTTACGCTCACGCAGGAAGTCGGCTATCCAGGTGCAGAGTTGAACGGGCAGACCGTAGGCCGGAAGCTTGGAGAGAAGTCCCTTGTGCCAAACCCTGTCAAATGCCTTAGCAATGTCAAGACTGACAGCCAAGGACTCGCCGCGCTTGTCGATAGCTTCACCCCAGAGGTGCATGACGTGCGCTAGAAGATCACCAGTTGATCGTTTTGGTCTAAAGCCATACTGACGATCATTTACAAGGGAGTGATCTTCTAGGTATCGGATCAGTTGGGAGTTAATAATCCTTTCCAGGACTTTACACAGCACAGAGGTGATAGCTATAGGGCGGTAGTTTGCAGGGTCTGACCGATCTCCCTTTTTGGGCACTGGCTGCACAATGGCCTCTCTCCAAGCCTCAGGTACACGACCCGAAGAAAGAGATAGCTGGTATAGGCGCGTAAGTACAGGAGTCAACTCCGCTGCACACATTTTTAGAACAACCGCAGGAATGCCATCAGGACCACTAGCTTTCCGGACATCGAGTGACTGTAGTTCCGCACGCACATCACGCTGCCTGATATGAATATCAGGCATAGTGAAGCCACTAGAAGGTAACGTTGGTGGCAGTGCATTACAGTCATTGATTTGGGAATTAGCCGCGAAGAGACTTGCCAAGAGGTCGGCTTTCTCCTGCGGCTTGTGAGCTAATGTTCCATCTGGACATCGAAGCGGTGGCAGCGAGGGCTGGCAGAAATTGTTTTGCACGGCCTTGGCGAGGCGCCAGTAGCTACGGGAGCCCGTAGGGTGCGTAACTAGCTCATGGCCAATACGTGCGACGCGCTGGGCATCCGCTCTGATGTAAGCCTTCTTACAGGACTTGGAAGCCTGATTGTAGGCTGCTTTTATTGAGTCGATATCGGGATCCCTCCGAGCACGACCCCTGATCCAAGCTCGATATGCCAGCTGTTTAGATGCAACAGCGTTAGCACAATCGCGATTGAACCAGCGGTTGTGTTTGCCCATACTGATCAGATCGGAGTGCGGAATGTAGTATTCCATAGCAATACCGATCTTCTCAGTAATAGCAACGGCGCTCGTTGTCGGATCCTTCTCACTAAAGCAGCGCTGCTTCCAAGGAACGGATGCAAGGTACTCGCGCATGCCGTCTCAATCCGCTGAGCCATAGTGCCATACGCGTCGTCGAGTCCTCGGAGGTTGAGGGGGCTCGATTCGCGGCACTTTGGTGGATATCAAGCAGTGGTCGGAATTGCCCAGTGGGGCACGAACATCAACCTGATAACCGACGGGATGGCTCGTAAGCAGAAGGTCCAGTAAGGAAGGCGTTTGACCGACTATGTCTGGGATCCTGGTGGGCTGATCGACCATTTGAGTCAAGTCATGCGTGAGAGCGAATGCGTGGGCTGATCTCCCCGCATGGTCCGTCTTGGAGGAACTTAACCACGATTCGTGGTGAGCGTTGAAGTCCCCCAAGAAAACCAGTTCTGCGTTAGGATACTGCTCCTGCGCGTAATCTGCCGCCCGACTGAGGTGGTCATAAAGTCGAGTTGTCTCCGCATCGCCAGTGTGGGATCTGTAGAGGCACACATAGACTCGAGTCTGATGACCTAAGTCTATATGCACCGCCAGGAGGGAAAACGAAGGGTCTTCTAGGCAGCGCAATCGGTGACAGCAATCATCCGCCCGGACAAACAAGCATACACCGGCTTTCGCTTTGAAGGACTCTTCAAGTGCGTAGCCGGGATAGTGAAGGTAGCTTGTATCGGCCGGGCGGAGAATTTGTGTCTCCGTCAGAAACAACATTGCAGGCCGTGCTGTCTCTAGGTGTTGGTGGACAGCATTGAGGTTGGCATGGAGTCCCCGTATATTAGAGAACTCAACCTCAAACAGCGAAGGCGTGGGGTTGTGCACCGCTGTACGACCGGAACGTGTTGCTGTGGCTGCCATAAGGATAAGGGGTGAGGAGACGTGAAGCGGGAGGGCATTGTCGCGACAGCTCCAGTCAAAAATATGGGCGCCTGTTTCCCCAGGTGTTGCCCACAGAGGAGTAGCACCGATCCGCCAGACGGAAGGGCCCCCGTACCCCCCCGGGAGTGGCCGCCGGGACCCACGCTCCGGTCACCAACCGGCACGACGGTCCACCCCAAGATTATGCGTGGCATGATAGGGCAGCCTCACGAGCTGGTTAGGCACGCTTGGGCCCCTGTACTGTACCACGGGCGGCCAGCGGTCAGCCGTTTCTACGGGTCTCCCTGGCTGGCGGGTCGATGCAGTCCTCCTGGCACTGGTTCGACGGAGGCACCCAACGGACCGAAACAATCGCGGCAATGTCGTCCCGAGCTCTGGTTGTACGTTGGCTGATCCCGAAACGCGCTCTACGAGCGAGCACTTCACGGGTTTTTCACCATGTGTGTACGGTGGTAACTAACCAGGCGGGATTAAACCCTACCACCAGTTGCGAGCAGATCTGAGCTCGAATTCCTTTAGTCGCCTCTTACGACACCCACAGGAAAGGAAGGGGCGGTGAGTTATGTATTCTTTCTCCGTCACCGCACGGGAGACTACTATACATAACCCTGTACTATACATAACAACAAACCTGGTTCTTTACAGACATATACAGAAAATACAATTCATACATCATAACTGTAAGGCTACAATATTGTACTATAGTTACGTTAATAATATATTTAAATTTTAATCTAAAACTCGTAACATCTTATTTAATGGACATAACTTTTACAGAATAAACTCTAAATACTATATAATATTTTTCTGGTAATGTAAATATGAAGTGTATTTTTGAATAAATATAATATTTTCTTACTCAAAATTCTAATTTTAATATAAATTATGATTAATGGCACATGAGAATATGTTTTAAATAATACGATTTTTATTTACTATTTTTACAAAAATAAAATTTCCTTTCATATTTTATATTGAAATGTTTAACAATTCTATAAAAATAACATCAATGTTACAATCAAGTAAATATAAATAAATCCCTATAAAATAATATGATTTCATAAACAATCTGTCCACATAATAGACTAGGTTATATTTGGACAATCAAGAGGAAAATATTGTCCTTATGTTTTATATAACAGTAAAATTCATCAAAATCTTTGGATTGGATTCATCTTTGAGCGATCACTTCAGTTTCGACTAATCACAAAATGGTCCGTCAGTAACGACTGGTGTGTGATCTGTCGAGACTACGCACTCTGTGCCGGTCGTATTTGAAGTCGAATGAGAGACTGAAGCGAGGCTGTAGGGGGTGTATGGTCAGCGGATGCGACTAACGCGCAGTTCCCGGTCGAGTTGTTGCAGCTGTCGCAGAAATCCCTCGTTGGGATGAATGTCCCGACGCGAGCGGACCATCGCCAGAGCCTCAGTCAGAGACATGCCTCTCTTGATCATCAGAAATGCTAGTGCGCAAGTAGCCGACCGGGACACTCCCATCAAACAGTGGACGAGTACACGACCTCCACTTGAAACACCCTCATCAATGAAGTTGGCAGCGATGTGGAAGTATTTGGATATGTCGGTGGTGGGCAGGTCCATCAGCTGGAAACCCTTGTACCGGAGCCCGGGACAGTCACGGTAGTAAAGGTGACCTGTGTCCACTTGGGTGTATCGGCTACCCTCAGCTGTGTTCAGCACGTAGTTTATACCCATACGACGCAGGAAAGCTTTATCTTTGGCGGCGACGGCATCACCAACGTACAATCCAGGGTAGACCTCGTTCAAGTCGGGCGTGGGACTGTAGCTTATGTCGGCGAACGGCCGCGACCGGAACGAAGACAGAGAACTCAGCACCGACGACGGTGATGAACCAAAACTAAAATCTCTGTAGCTCATTGTGCTACTGTGGGTCACTTGACTATAAGCTCAAATATTAACAGTAATTAGATATTCGACTAATTTACAATTTATTACGGAAAGAAAACAACAAACAACGTACACCGCTCAAAATTCATTAACTACGCGCCACCATAACAGATATAAATAAAAAATGAAAACATAATCACATATAAAACTTTAAAATATTTTTTTTTTAGAAATTATTGGATATTTTCTTTGTAACTGGTCTTATGGCTAGACTAGGTATAAATTTATTTAATATAAACTTATGAAGTTTGACATAGAATTGACAGAATATCGTCAAATAGGATGTAATACAACTGTTCGAATGAAATATTCAGCTAGAGTCAGAGTCAGCTAGTTAAATATAATTATAGAATACCTGGTGGAATTCTGCCTGTCCATTGTAATAATCCCTAGTGACGTTAAGTACCGGATATCCGGCTTGTCTGGTCCATGTATTCATCATCTCCACTATAGAGACACCCTGAAGTGACGGTTCTGTAGATGTCGCTTTTGACATCGCTTGCCAAAGGTCGTTCTCTTCTGCGTTAGTATATTTCCTAGGGTAAATTCAAATTATCAGTTAAGAGGAACTTAAGGCGCAGTGGTTAACACGTTCGGTATGTTATGCGGAGATTTAAGTTCCTGTCGAAAGAGTCGCAATACTCTGCCAAGACCGCGCTAGCGTTGGACATGTCGCGCGACTAAAAGATAACGAATGAATCAAAGTGAATGAATGAATGAATAATGCTTTATAGGTATAACGCATGTGAAAACGTTCTAAGAGCATGTTTCCGTACTTGTTATTAGCAACTAAGGGGATATTATTCAAAGCTTTGTGTAGACCATTAGTAAATGTAAAAACACAATTTCTAACTTTTAAAATGAATGATTCCATTCTTTCTTACATTCAAACATGCAGCAATCATATATTATTAGATAAAATTACACTTTAACAAATTTTAATTAAAAAAATATAAAAAACTATGCTCACTATTATTTTACTCTTTGCTCATTACTCTGTGAATGACGTTTGATGTTTATAGAAAAAAAATGCAGCACTAGCACACTTAATGTAACGACAGAAAGCAGCAGTAATAGGTCAGATACACACAGTGGCTCGCGTGTTGGGTTTTCTTTTCTTGATTGTATTGACTATCTGATGAAAATGGAATAAGAAAATAAGTAACGGTCAATTTCACAGTCTCACCAATCATTGAGATAGATGACCAGTCCTTTATGGAACAACTCCCCAGATATGGTGTGGTTAAGCATCCTGATCAGATTGGCGCCCTTATTGTATGAGATTTCGTCGAACTTCTGAGATATTTCAGAGGCGTCGATCACCTGTCTCGATACTGGTGACGTATTCTTGAGGGCATCGGAACGGAGCAACTCCATCTTGTCTCGTACGAATGTTTCGAACATATTCCATTTGGGTTCGATCTGTGAATTATCAACATAATACGGTTTATCCCGATTGGGGATTTTGGTGGGGAATTGTGTGTTGACGTACAAGGAAAATAAATAACATACGTTATTTAATCAAAATGACGATATTATTGCAGGATTCCTTATAGATATGTAATAAAATTATACAAATTTGCTTAATTTCAACCAGATTTGATTTCTTTATGCAGCTAAGTATAGAAAGTAAATCTATAAAAGTGAAAAATTATTAATATCTTCATTTGAAGAAACAAAATTTATGATTTCTGTTTCTAATTTCAACAACTACATCATTTAAATTTGATTTCTATGTCTATAAAAGAGCTGTGAGAGAGGGAGGGGTTGACCGTGTCTTTGCTAAGGAGGAGGGGAGTCTTAATTGTTCTTACCTAAGATTACAAAAACCTGCAAAATCAAGATGTATGTCTGTGTATATATATAATAAAATAAAAGTTTGAGTATGCAAAACGTGTGCAAGAGTAATATGTGAAAAAGTAAGACAGAAATTTACAATAGCTGATATTTTTTGAAAAATTACTATAATCGCATGTCGAGAAAACTCGAAGACAATTATTTTATTTTTTTTTAATGTAAAATCAAGCATTTGGAAGTTTATCGTACAATGATTGTGACTTTATCTCGTCAATATAAAAAACATTTTGATTTAGAATATCACAATGAACTTTCTTGTATATCGGTGGAATTAGGTGTATAACTTACGTAGTCTACTCCGATATATTCTATGTATGTTGCGAAACCCTCGTTCAGCCAGAGGTCTGTCCACCATCGCATGGTGACTAGGTTTCCGAACCATTGGTGTGCAAGCTCGTGAGCCACGTCGATCGCTACGTTTTGTCTTTCTCGTGGAACACCATCTACTTCGTCGAAAAGTAACGTAGTTTCCCTACAGAAAACAAAAAAGATTTATGAATACCAAGTTTTTAGGGTTCCGTACTCTAAGGATAAAACGGGACCCTATTTCTAAGACTCCGCTGTTCGTGTCCGTCTGTCTATCGATCTTCAACAGACTTCTATCATGATCCGTGATAGAATGTTAAAATTTTCAGATGTATTTCTGTTGCCCTTAGAACGACAAATACTAAACTAAAAAAAAAACACAGAATATAATACCTAAATATTTAAGGGGCTACAATAAACGCGATTCTTTGTTCGTTTCCAGTACGGAACCCTTCGTACGCGAGTGCGTCTCCCACTTGGCCGGTTTTATATAACATTATCTTTACTCTGCGACCGGTTAGACACGGATGTTAAAAAGTATCGTTTACTTTATCAAAACGCGTATCATGCGTGACTTGACTAATATTACAAGCACATAAAAGAATAGGGGTGTGGACATATTAAAAAAATACACACATATATATATATATATATATATATATATATATATATATAAAGTATCTAAATAAAGTATATGAAATATACTATTTATTTAGATATATTTCATAGTATATGAAATATATCTAAATAAATAATTAAAGAAAGTATAAATTTAAAATAAATTTAATTTTCAAAATTTCCCGCGAAAACGCCACTTCTGTCATGGTATCGGTATGACGCCACAGTACTCTGAAACGAATATCATTCTATATATGCATAAGGTTGAATTCTCTAAGTTCTGGGGTCGTGACGTCAAGCGCTGTTTGCGGTTACGTGAGAACGAGCAAAAAATATTTGTTTTGACATAATTAATTTGAGCAATGTTATAAATATAATAAGCATGAAAGTGTGATTATCGGTAATAGTATATTAAACACTAATAAAAAACACAAATATTTTCGTTTACTATCTACACCCGTATATTCAATAAAACCCGTTAACTATTATTATTATTACTATTATATTATTACCATCTACTAAATGTTGCTAATATTATAAGCTAACGCGTGAAAAATAAGACTATTCAATTATTAACAGCTGGATTCTCACGCGACCTTGTCTAGTCAATTCTGTTTAATAAAAAATGTTTGTTTATATTGTATGTCCGGTGGACAAATATGAAAAAAAACATCGCCTCATTGTTTGAATTGTTAGTGTAAAAACATTTAGCGTCTATTAACGTATTTCAAGTCTGTAACGTTTATGATTCTTAATATATTTGTTTTCCTGTGAATTGAAGAACTAGTTAGTCATCCGACTTATAAAATGTAATAACTATTATAAATAATAAATTAATAAGACATATCACTGTAACATTTTTATGCTCTTTTAAGCTCTTGAATATGTATTCATGAGTGGTCATAATGTGAGTGAAGAAAAATAATATAAGAGTAAGATATTTAGCAACTTCCACAGCCTTTCGGCAAACTTAGAATATAAAAATATATATAGGTAATTAAAGGCTAAAATTAACTGTGCATCGTCCGTAAATAAACACACATGCATAAGCTACAACAGATCTCCCAGTCATCATACATTTCATAATAATGTTGATTATACTTGCAGACACTAAGACGGCTATTATACGATTAATACGGATCGTGATTAGATCAAAGTTGTGGATTGATGACAAAAACAAATTATCTAGATAATATCTGATCTATTTCGAGTGGATAATATCTGATCTTTTTCAAATGGATTTGGCGCCTGATTGTCTAATGGCCCGATTACAGTTATAGAAGATGTGAAATACATATCAGTTTTTGCAATTGCAATGCTTGATTCTATTAAATCAAGACCAAAGCGTAGATACGATAATTTTATCTTTGACATTAAATTACTTTGACATTGTAATAGCTCACAGATAAACATAGCTGCTTCCTTATTGTAAACATAAAAAAAACATGGAAGAATAGGTAAAAAGCATATTTACCTAAATGTTATCAAGCCCCAATTTTCCATCGCCCCACTGGAGAAATCGGGCACAGCAACAAGATCCACCTTATCTAACGCATATGGTACACCGAACACGTCTTCATAGTAGCTGAGTAATTTCGGTGTTATATTGAGTGCGTATTTAGCTTTGCTGATCAACGCTGGTCTTGTCCAAACTCTGATTGATTTGGTTATGTTATCTTTGCTTAGATAGCTCGTCTCTAAAGATTGGAAGTCAGATAAAACGTATGCCACCAAGTAAGTTGACATGTTCACAGAGCGTTCGAAATGCGTCCATTTCCACCCAGGTTCATCTGATCTGTAGATAGTAATTTTATATAAATAAAGAAACCTGTAGAAGCAATGCCATGTACTTGAAATGCCTAATGATAATAATGTTTATTGATATGGCTTTAGGGATGTTCAAGTAACTGTCTTTTGATAAAGTGAAAGCTAAATATGTTAACGTTAGCAGAAAACAGGCCCCTAACATAATTATTGGATTGAAATGAAAATTAATTTTTCTTACATGACTTCTTGTGTGGAAACCTTCATGTTAGAGAGTACATTGATGCTGTCAGGGTGCGCGATACTGATTTCGAACATGGCTTTAAAGGCTGGCTCATCGAAGCAAGGAAACGCCGCTCTAGCTGATGTAGGTTCGAACTGGGTCGCTCCAAGCTTCCTGTATCAGAAAATTTTATATTGATGATGCATATTATATTAGGTGATTAGTTTATGAAATATTAATAGGATGTAATTATAATCAAACCAAATATTTACTAAATCATTCTGTTTCTTTCTTTATGGAAACAAAACATAAAATTGGTGTTTGGCTAAAATGATGACAGTATTGTTATGTGAATGCAATATGTTTGGTACAGTCAAGAACAAGGTTACAAGAAAGACAAATTTGTCAAATCAATTTTAAACCTTAATATGTCGATTATTAAGTTTAAAATAGATTACATTTGAACAATTGAGGTGACCTGATTGTAGGTATCAGGAAAGAGAGTCCTTGCAGAGATTGGATATGGGATGCAAGACGGGAAAAAAGCTCAGTTCAAATAATGGCCGTTATAGTTCACATTTCTGCTTGAAAACTCGACCCAATGATTTTGAAACTGTTAATGTTGATGAATTAAAATTACACAGCAATAAATATTTGTTCAATTTTACATCCACAATGCTCTAGTGAAAAATATTCTTAATGAAAAATGCTTAGAAATATACATTTCGTATCTGGCACATGGAGATGGGACTCGACCCATGAATATTTCATTAAAAACATTTTTCAAGTCTCATCTTAGAGTACCAGGGACATAGTGGATTTTTAAGCAAAAATATATAGGTATAAGTTATAATTGATGTCAAATCAAATAATATAAGGTTCTTTTGCCTAATGTTTTTGACTGCTCCAGTTCTAAAATCCTAAGTTTAAATAACTAAGTTTAAATTATATTTTTCCGTCCTTACATATCAGACGGTGTGCGACTAGGATATATTCTAGTTGGCTTCTTAACACTCTAACAGGCAAAAATGACGGGCTTTATAAGGCGACAGTACCTAATAACATTGTTTACATATTCCTGTCTTCAAATAAATATACAAAAATCCCATTATGTACAATAAAATAACTGGTCATGCCGCCTCCCCCGTCCACACCACTAATAATACATAAATCGTGAATTTTTCCTACACAGATGCTTAAGTGTTCCCTTTTTACATAGTTAAAATTATTGTTGTTCTAATTGACTGAATGAATTTAATAATATTAGATGGAAAGCTTGTGAAAAACCTTGATATTTTAGTATCTTGAAGCACTAAGGTTATATACATGCCTCAGCACATCTCATAAGTTGTTGCTAAATTAGTTTCTAAAACGTTCCAGCACCTGAACACCACACTAGGTACTGAGTAATGTATTATCACCCTTAGTACTTCAACATACGTCTAAGATATCATGTCAAAAAGGTGTAAGGGCTTTCGAAAGCTTATTTGAGTATATTGAAATTCTTACACCGATATCTATAGTGGAGTAAAAGAAATTTAATAATACTATTATCTTTAGCTATTAACAATTCTAATTTCATTCAAGTTCTCGACTATTGGTTAAAAATATCTGCTTAAGTTTTGCCATTTTCTCAAGTAATTACTTCTCTCAACTGTACATACAAGTGTACATTAAATCTCCGTTCAACTTCAATAAGTCGCTTTTGAGATAAGTATATTTATCACTTTTTGAAGTCTCAAGTATTAGTTATAAAAAGTTATAGACAAGCTCTCTATCTATACTGGAGTACCAAGCTTTAGGAAACATATTTTAGTCACAATCTTATAGATGATAAAATTTATATACTATTATAAAATAATAAACGTTTATTTATTTATTTATATTGTTCTGTAATCAGGCTAACCAGGGAAATTATGATTGATTCAACTGAGAATTAAACTGATACAATAATTACATGATAATAAAAATACAAAATCCAGTCACTAATATTTTCCTGTTAATGACCATAAAAGATATTTTGAATCCAAAAACATAAATGGCAGCATTTATTAGGGAATATCAATTTGTTATATTTGCCTTAATAAAAAACTTACAAATGTAAGAGTTATTATGCTATTTAAGCTTAACAGTCCAGTCAAAGAGTTCATTTTGATATCATTTTGATTAATTAATTTATTCAAATGAACAAATTAATAAATATTTTATTAAAAATTTTATATTTATTATTCAGTTTAAGAACTGACAAACATTTGAAAAACTATTGAAAAGTTTATAGGTACTTACTTTACCATTTGTTGGCTGTCTGTGTATGAGCTTTTATAAAATCCTGTTAATGAATTAGATATTTGACCACTGAAAGTAATTTGAAGGGTATAATCCACATTGGTTGAGAGGGCAGATTCAAGTTTAAGAATCAGTCTGTCACCAGAGGCTTCAGTTATTGATAATATTTTAATGTTGCGTACACTGCTGTGTGTAACTTGAGTATCTATTGATGGGATTGCTGTTTCTGTCATTGGCTGGGCTGTTGTTTCAGAAATATTTTGACTTCCCATATCAGTACTTGGAGCGGTAGTTGTAATAGTCACTTGAGTGTTTGTTGTTGTATTTTCATTTAACATAGTAGAGGTTACGTTGAGGATATTATTTTCCGTTGGCATAGTTTCATTACTTAAATTAACTTCCCTTTTGGATTTTGAATGAAAAGTCTCAACTCTTTCATAAATCTGTTCAGTTAGCCTAGCATTACTATTAATACTGAGATCCTTTGAATGTAAGATAATTTCTTTCACTGGTTGGCTTGCTCTGATTGTTATATAAACTTCACCAGTGAAGTTGGAGTTTTCCAAGTCTATGTGAAGTTTTAGCCGGTAAAAACTTGGCACAACATAAGCTGGGAGTCTGAGATCCGGCGATGGTTGTTCAAAGTTACCAAATGGCTCTGATTCATCCCAAAACTCAGTAGGTATTTTCTGTGACAGCTTTAAAAGAAAAATAAAAAGTCACTACCATTCTTCATAAAATAAGGCACTTACGAACTTTCTAGGAATATCATTAATTAATTTAAGAAAGTTAATTAGTCTTCTTTATGAAATAGTTTAGCCATATTTATTATTAAATTTGAAAGAATTATCAACATTCACTATATTTTTTTACAGTTTAGTTAATACTTACAATTTTATACCCATTATTGACAACTGTTTTAACTAAAATTATTAGTATAAATAAAGTCTTGTTCATTTTTTTAACTAATTAGAATATATCACAGCTTTGAAACTAGTATAAAAGAAAATAAATGGCACTTTATCTGTCTTCCCTCATGGTGAGTTTTTTAAATTACATAGTACCTCATAAATATTTGTTTACTTTAATTTAAAATACACTACTCACTCCGTACAGTACAGAATTGCAAAAACTTTGGAGTGATTCGTAACGTTTAAATTATCTTCGGAATGATTGACTAACATTGACAAATTGACAAACGGGTGAACAACTTTGACGTTTTGTTTTTTCGTAGTTAAAGTCAAAGGTTATTAGTTCATTCTGCGACTTCCCAGAGCACGATAAGGGAAATAATTATATATATTATTTAAAAATAAGCAATGCGACGTGCTATCAATTATGTAATCGGGGTAAAGACAAACTACGATTAATAATACTGATAAAAATAAGTATGTACAACATACAGGATTATTTAATTAATTTAAAAATAAAAAAAAATGTAATAGAAGAGTTTTATGTAAATAATATGTATAATCGAAATACTTTGAAATATTACTTTGCCGAATAAAAATATCTACTTTTATCTTATACCCATTGTAAATTTTAAAGCATTTCCAAAATTTTAGCAACATTTTATCAAAGCACTAAAAATTGCGTTTTTAACTTAATAAGATAGAAATAAAGTTTTAATTATTGTTATCTATGTCAAAATGAAAAATATCATATTACTTACTTTAAAAAATGTGATAAAGTATACTATTACACCAACCAATGCAGCTAATACTACAGCAAAAAAGATAAATGCGACACAGACACAGGAAGAGACAAAAACACCGCCTTTTCGCCCATACTGGATGTCCTCGGGGCTTTGGGTTTCATATGCCAGGAACTGCTGCCGACTTGTAGAAAGAGACATGCTGACGACATCCTGTGGATAAAGCGACAGCTTAAGTAAAGTATTAGAATAAAATCTAAAAGAAATTCAAGGATCAGTTACTATTTAAAGCTTATAAAACAATTTTTGTATAAAATTTGATAGATTCCTTAATATAGGTACATTATTGTTTTACCCAGTGCCGGATTATAAGTAGGTACTTGATGCCCTAAGCAATTCTTATTTGTGTCAATATAGAAATTCGAAAGCAGTGGGCTAATTGTCTAATTTCAAATTCTATCGCCATACCTTTCCAAGATATGGAGATATTATTTAATATTTAATGTTGCGATCGTTTTTGGAACGAATGATGATTTGAATGGTCAAGAAACATAATAAAAACTTAACTATGCCTACTTGTCGACAGATTGCAGTTCAACGCTTTCGTTAGATTCAATAGCTTTCGCATTTATCACTTTGCTTATCGTATATATCAATTTCGATTTTATCGTAATTGCTATAATTTCTCAAATAGTTGTAGCGTGAAGTTTGTGAGTATCTTTCAAATGCCAAATTGAAAAGCATTGTGATAGATTTCAAAAGTAGACAATTAGGCTCAAATCGACCCCTCGGCCGCTAGAACTTAACGTTATAACATAGTTTCATATAATTGTTACGATAAATACGTATATGCAAAATTAAATATAAAGAATAGTCATCAACAATAATCATTGTTTTACTTTTATTACGCTTCGGTGCTTATACCTCTCATAATGTGCAAGCTAAAATGACTCTTATTAATACACAAATAATAATTTTATTTAATACAACACGCGCGCGGCAAAATCTCTAATCCGAAGACAGACTTTAACCTTTGACATATTGCCGCCCGGTCACCCGCACTTGAAGCAAAATGCTCTTTAAATCAATAAAGTGTAAGTTCATTTGTAATCGGCGCGCGATACCTGTGCTTCTGTCATAGGCAAGTAATTGTTCTCTATGACATAGTCGTCCGAACGCTCGCACTTAAAAAGGAATAATCTCTAAATCACTACAATTAAGGCAAGTCAATTTAGTTTTTTAATTATTAGGTAAATGACAATCATTATTATTGTCAACCTGTTTGAATTCTGGGTTCCTGGACAAATTTATGTATACCTATAGGTACTTATTTGTTTATGAGAGAGTCATGATTGTTTATTTCTTTATAATCACAAATATACAAATTCTTAATATTAGTAATTGATACCCTTTACCATACTACTTTATTTAGATTTACTACCTTATATAATATATCTGAAGTGGTAAATCAATGACAGAATTCACTGGTATATCCTGCCTAGGTTCGATCCTTATTACTATTACACTTCTAATTTTTTGTACAAGTTACCTGTAACTGTATACCTAATGACAATATCTAATTGTTATTTAGCAGATTGCGCACCGGAAGGCGTTAGTAACACTGACTTTCGAGCCGAAGGTCTCGGGTTCGAATTCCCACCGGTGCATATATAATTATGTGACCATGTTACCACACTTGGTTACACAAATTGTTTGACTATCTTATGTTTTTAGGTACATTTTAGTCAACATCAGCCCGATAGTTAGAAGAGACAGTCAACTTGGAAAAGAGAAGTTCTATGAATATTTCACAAGTTCCAGCTCACACTAGTACCAGTACTTCGCCTACTTCAAGTGAACCAATTGTTAACCAACCAGCAACAGAACCAGATGTACGATTTTGTGAAAATGTCGCGAATGATCCTGCTCTCAGACTGCAAGTAATACCCGATAATTTAAGATTGTTTTATTACGTAAGTAAGTAAACGTGGACCAATTCAGATTAAAAGTACAACTATGCTTCAGATAGTATCATGAAGTCGTTTTCAGACTCATATTACACTAAAAAGTTACAAAACAATGAAATTGTTCATCGAGTTTGGCTTGTATATTCCATATCTACTGATTCTGTATTTTGTTTCCATTGTAAGCTTTTTAATAATAATGTCACTGCATTTAATGGCCCTACTGATTACAAAGACTGGGGGCATTTGTCCAGAAATATAGAACAACATGAGAAAAGTTTGGGGGCACATATGTTCTATTAAAAAATATTTAGATCTAAAAAAGACTTATTGAAAGGGCAAACTGTGGACTCGGTTAATCAAACTGAAATAGACCGCGAGAAAAAGAGATAGACGGCAGTTTTAGAAAGGATAATCGAAATTATAAAATTTTTGGCAGGTCAATATAGCATTTAGGGGCACAACTGAGAAGTTGAATGACCCAATTAATGGTAATTTTTTAAAGTTGGTGGAGAGTGTATCTAATTTTGATAGTAGGTACACAACATTTTGCTTGAATTCAAAGGGCTCAGCATCGCATGACACATTATCTTAGTCATAACATTGAAAATGAACTGATTAGTATAATTGCTGAAAAAATTAAAATTATTAAAATTAGTCTTTTGAACTCGTAAATGCTACTCTGTAATTCTAAATTGTACACCTGATATTTCACACCAAGAAAGAAGATATAAAAATAAATTATTTAATCAAAATCTTTGCCAAATCAAAAGCAAGAAAAATTGGGTTTGTTTGATGTATCTATATCTATATACAATAAATAGATATTTAACAATTAAATAATAATATAAAATCCAAAGTTGAAGTGCTGGTGTTGTTCGCCATTACAATCACTGTCAATTGTAAATACCTCATAATTCTATTGATTTCTCAACTTAGGTTCCTTCTCTTCGTTCTTGCATCATATTCTTTTTCATGTTATCTATATATATAAAAATGAATCGCAAAATGTGTTGGTAAGCGCATAACTCAACAACGCCTCGACCAATTTGGCCAAATCTTTTTTTAAAATGTTCGTTGAAGTTCAAGGATGGTTTTTACGGCGAGAAAAATTAGAATTATTGCTGGAAAAACCCTAAAAATAGCCCTTTTCTTTTTCCCATACAAATGATTTGTAACTAAAACGTAGTCAATTTGAGCTTTATTGCTATGGTATAAAGTTCATATTAAATTACAAGCACTCACTGTTGTCTAAGCAATGTAGGTGTGTTCCTAACGTCAAAGATCATATCTATCACAAAACAATGTGCGTGTGTGCGTTGGAGCACAGAATACATAGTTGGAGGAGTTTAATGTCGCGTTCCGAAACTCGCGTTTCTTTTGTATTAGTTTCGGCACGCGAGATAAAATGCATCAGTTTCCACGTCATTACATGTATTGCCGGAACATTGATGAAAATACGCTCTGTAGTAGCAAAGCTGTTGGGTCCTAGATAGCTCATTGGTTAGAGCAGTCCCTGGATCGCGAATGGGTTCGAGTCCCATTCCGGGGTACAGGTAGATGGATTCTTCCAGCATTTTTCCTTGAGAATGTTTATATATTTTTTTAATTCGAATAGTTTACTTTTATAATGCTGTTGTGTGTAATGTGTTTTTATGATCATAAAAATCTCTTTTTTCTATATTTAATACTATTAATATTAATAGTAATTGGAATAATAATTATGATTCACATGATTAACAATAAAGCGATTACTTACTTTTAAATCCTTATATATGTTTTATTTAATTATTTTTTATTCACAACGCCCTATCACCAGGGTGACGGTTCTGTTCAGGAGAATTTTTTTAAATACGTAGGCAATAAAACTGCCACATTACAAATCTTTTTGACAGGACGAAGTCTGTCGGGTCAGCTAGTAATATAATAAAAGTATAATTTTTAGAATGTTCATCGGAAAATCTTCACTTTTTAAAGAAGTAGGTACGTTTTTTTAGTGTTTATTCCTGAAAATGGACATAATGTATCGAATGGAGAATAATTTTGTTTTTTATTTGTATAATTCGGTTTAATTTCAATAATTGAAGTTTAATTTTACTTTTGTATTTTAGAGAAATAAATTATCAAAATTACGTGTATTGTGTTTCCATGGTTGACTAGGACCTCTTTCATACTGCAGTGTGTCGTCGGTCGCGTGCAGCGTGTAAAAGAAAACGAGGGCGCAGGCTGAGCCCCGCATCCCGGCGCCGAACTTACAATAACGTTTACGCTACTTTAAACGCAATAATGTACGGGTATGACGAGTCTAATAATAAAAAGTCATCGATGCAAATAGATGAAATTTTACTTATTAATCATATCAATTAACATGAGAAATCTGAAATCCATTATACCTATTTCACCGGAAAACGAATTTTCTCTCTCTTCGATATATTTTCGAAATGCTAATACGACTCCGGAAATCAGTGTCTGTTTCATATATGGAACATCCAACACTGAGCTGTATACCTCTTGAGCTACTGC